CCACGCCAGGACTATCCACGGCCAGTGCCCGTCATCAATACCATAGCCACCACCGCCATCGCAAATACTTTACCATAGCCACCGCCACCACCACCACTATCACAGAATCATTACCATAGCCACCACCGCCATCGCAAATACTTTACCATAGCCACCGCCACCACCACCACTATCACAGAATCATTACCATAGCCACCACCGCCATCGCAAATACTTTACCATAGCCACCGCCACCACCACCACTATCACAGAATCATTACCATAGCCACCACCGCCATCGCAAATACTTTACCATAGCCGCCACCACCACCACTATCACAGAATCATTACCATAGCCACCACTGCCATCGCAAATACTTTACCATAGCCACCACCATCACAGAATCATTACCATAGCCACCACCGCCATCACAAATACTTTATCATTGCCGCCACCACCACCACGATCACAGAATCATTACCATAGCCACCACTGCCATCGCAAAGACTTTACCATAGCCACCACCATCACAGAATCATTACCATAACCACCACCGCCATCGCAAATACTTTACCATAGCCGCCACCACGATCACAGAATCATTACCATAACCACCACCGCCATCGCAAATACTTTACCATAGCCGCTACCACGATCACAGAATCATTACCATAGCCACCACTGCCATCGCAAATACTTTACCATAGCCACCACCATCACAGAATCATTACCATAGCCACCACCGCCATCGCAAATACTTTACCATAGCCACCGCCATCGCAAATACTGTCATCACCATCACCACCACCACCACTATCACAGAATCATTACCATAGCCACCACCATCACAAATACTGTCATCACCACCACCACCACTATCACAGAATCATTACCATAGCCACCACCACCATCACAAATACTGTCATCACCACCGCCACCACCACTATCACAGAATCATTACCATAGCCACCACCACCATCACAAATACTGTCATCACCACCACCACCACTATCACGGAATCATTACCATAGCCACCACCATCACAAATACTGTCATCACCACCACCACCACCACTATCACAGAATCATTACCATACCACCACCACCATCACAGAGTGAGTCACCGCAACCTCGCCTCTACACCGAGAACCAGGACTGCCATGTTCGCTGCTGGACCATCATTGCCATCACCAAAGACAAAGATCCCCCGTGTAGCCTCAACAGACTGTAGGGGCAAGTGCTGTTAGCGAGCAGCACCTATGAAGGCCGGCACGGGACACGAGGGGGTGGGTGGTGGCTATGGCCTTTGTCTCCCCAGTGGCGATGTTTACCACGCACCGTACCGGGTAACTCATTTGAGGCTGAGTCAACCTAGGGGAGGCCCGGGACCGGTTCAGATAATCGTCACCGCCGGTGTTGGCCGCGAGCGGGAATCGAACCCGGGCCGCCGAGTTCGCCGCAAATACTCTGAATAGAAATATGGATTCATACCGGAGGAATCCGATGAGCTATAAAGCTGTTAGGAATAGGTTTTACCCTTTTAACTGGCACAAAAACTGACACCTTTATTCAAGGCATCGTGTTTGCAATGACCACAACACAAGCAGTCAAAATGCAAACAAAAAAGACAACTCTGATAATAATATGCACTGTCCTTGAATTTGATTGGTCCACACCCGAGACAGCTTTTGGACCAACCAAATTCAAGGACAGTGCATATTATTATCAGAGTTGTCTTTTTTGTTTGCATTTTGACTGCTTGTGTTGTGGTCATTGCAAACACGATGCCTTGAATAAAGGTGTCAGTTTTTGTGCCAGTTGAAAGGGTAAAACCTATTCCTATATCTTGTTTCTGGCAAAGGAGGTCTCATAATGTCTATAAAGCTCTTCTTTACATATATATAAATGTATAAAACAGATGTCCAGCAGGGCAACAGAAGCACGCGACAGGAGTTCCAAGCGCAGGAGAGGTGAGCACATCACCAACAACGGCAACAACAAGATTAGAAATAACACAAAGCCATTTGACGTGGCCAGGTAAAGCCCACCGAGCTACGGGCCTCTTTTCGCCGCAGCCACGTGGCCACTCAAATGATGGCCTCAAGGTAGCGGATCATCGCGTGGAGAATTTATCTAAATAATCTTCACCGCCGTCACCACCGTCACCACGGCCATCACAGCAGTCACCACCGTCACCACCGTCACCGCGCGTCACCACCGTCACCACCGTCACCACCACCGTCACCACCGTCACCACCTTCACCACCGTCACCACCACCACCACCGTCACCACCGTCACCACCTTCACCACCACCGTCACCACCTTCACCACCGTCACCACCACCACCACCGTCACCACCGTCACCACCTTCACCACCACCGTCACCACTGTCACCACCGTCACCACCACCGTCACCACCGTCACCACCGTCACCGCCGTCACCGCCGTCACCGCCGTCACCGCCGTCATCGCCGTCACCGCCGTCACCACCATCACCACCGTCACCGCCGTCACCGCCGTCACCACCGTCACCACCGTCACCACCACCACCACCACCGTCACCACCGTCACCACCTTCACCACCGTCACCACCACCACCACCGTCACCACCGTCACCACCTTCACCACCACCGTCACCACCGTCACCACCGTCACCGCCGTCACCGCCGTCACCGCCGTCACCACCGTCACCACCGTCACCACCGTCACCACCGTCGCTACAGTCACCATCGTCACCACCGCAACCTCCTCCACCCTCCGCTCCAAGCTGAGCATCAGGACAGCCGCTGAAGACAAACGGACGGAGGGACAGACGACACAGACAGATAGACAGACGACACAGACAGATAGACAGACGACACAGATAGACAGACGACACAGACAGAAGGACAGACGACACAGACAGATAGACAGACGACACACAGGTATGGACAGACGACACAGACAGAAGGACAGACGACACAGACAGATAGACAGACGACACAGACAGATAGACAGACGACACGGACAGATAAGGACAGACGACACAGACAGATAGACAGACGACACAGACAGACAGATAGACAGACGACACAGACAGACAGATAGACAGACGACACAGACAGACAGACAGACGACACAGACAGATAAGGACAGACGACACGGACGGAGGGACGGACGACACGGAGGGAGGTGACGCTGCAGCGCTACCCATGATGATTTCCTCCAGGTGGCCGATGACCAGGTCGAAGGGCGCGTCCACGGAGTCGGTCCTGCGACACACGCACACACAAAGACGGAGATCCCCCGTTGTGGGGCCAAGCGCCGCTGGTGATCATCGCCTCTGAACCGAAGCAGCTGCAAGGTTGAAAACCTTTGTGTGTGTGTGCTACGAGTGGCTCGCTCCGCGGGGTGTTTCGCGAGAACAGCTACATCTTAAAAGTGAACATTAATTCCGACACCACGGGCGAGGGTCCTTAGCGACACGAGCAGCGTTGCACCTCCGAGCGTCACGTGATCACAGGCGACGTGCGGGTGCTGTGATGCGCGATTGCCCTGGGTGACGATGCACGTTTCCCGAACGGGTCATAGCTCGCCATCCGAGGTGTCCACTGTCATTGCTTTCGATTTGCCCGGGTGAGGCCCACTGTGCCACTAGCTCCCGTTCAAGAGGCGTCCTGGCCACGGATGAAAACCAAGCGGGAGGCCATTTGCGTGGACACGTACGGCAGCCGGATGCTGCTCAACGCTTGATGGTGTTGGTTCGAAATGCGTTGGAGGGGGGGGGGGGGAAAAAAACGGAGGTCACGGAGGAAAATCCGCGCAGTGAACACGGGGAGAGAGACGCGCAGACTCCAAATATACAGCAGCAGCAGCAGCAGGCGTGAGGGTCGCGATCGAAGCCACGACCTCCTGTACACCAGGCGAGGTAGTCAACATCTCATAGCCACCACCGTGCCCCAATCAACCCGCATCCCACAATTCCCCTGTCGCGCCAGACTGAGGTTGACCGAGGTTGACCGAGGTTGACCGAGGTTGACCGTGGTTGACCGTGGTTGATCGAGGGTGACTGAGGGTGACTGTGGCTGAATGTGGTTGACTGTGGCTGACTGTGGTTGACTGAGGGTGACTGTGGTTCACTGAGGGTGACTGTGGTTGACCGAGTGACAAGGAAACTTTAGAGGTCATCAGATTCCTCCTCCAGAGTAGACAACGACGACGACAACGATCGCACACATACACATACACACACAACAACAACCGCCATTCGCCACTAAGTGGCGGTGACGTCACCACGACGCTTGTGCCAGGCTATGTGCACCCTGAGGCCACGTGAAGTGTCGAACGCCCGCTGGCATGAGGTCATGGGGCAGACCCAGGTGCCACGGGTCGACTGACTGAGATGACTGAGATGAGTGGCTGATGCACCACCTGTGCCCCCTACTGTGCCAACCTGCTGTGCTTTAGCCACCCGGCGCTCCGCTCGTTGTTCTGAGCGTCGCTCCTCCGCCCTCCGTTGTTGTTGGAGGGCGACTACCTCCAACTGCCCAGTAGCATCCTTCACGAGCCTCCTCCACAGAGGCCGATCTTGACACCGCTGGTACCAGTCATCGGCAAGTCCACTCAGCTCCACGTCCTCCTGTACCACATCACTCCATCTCTTCTCTAGACCGTGCCGCGCCCACTTTGCCCCCTCAATCCGGCCGAACAAAAGCTGTTTCGGCATGCGGTGGCTGGGCATGCGGGCTACATGACCCAGCCATCGCAGCCTTGCCTGCCGGAGGAGCTCACCGATGGGACTTTGCCCAGATCTTTCAAGGATTTGTGAGCTCCTCACACAATCCAGTCTGGTTACACCCAGGATGGATCATAGGCAGGCCAGCCTAAATGTTTCTAACCGGCAAAGATGCTCCATTAGGGGGGTCCACGTTTCGCAAGCGTAGAGAAGGGAGGGAATGACCGTGGCCGGGAAGACCTGAAGCTTAGTGTGGAGCGACAGACCAGGTAGCATCCACACAGCGTTACACAACCGATGAAAAGATATTGCTGCTCGACTGATTCGGAGTGAGACCTCTGCTGTTAAACTGGAGCCAGTCATAAGCACACTGCCCAGGTATGGGAAACTCTCCACTCTCTCCACAAAGTGTCCAATGGTACAAAATACCCAGGCAGGTGCTTAGTTTTGGTGGGGCTGATGGTAAGGCCCCATCTCTTAGTGCCACGCTCCAGTCTCAGCAGCAGCGTCTCCAACTCCTCCTCTGAATGAGCAGCTATTACCAAATCATCAGCATACATAACGTGGTTGAGCAATAGGGAGCCATCCCTTGACCGGACCCGGGCATCGATCAGCCTCCCATTATATCTGTACCATATGGAGATTCCCCCGGTACAGCTATTGAAGGCTTCACGAACTACGTGGTCGAAATAGATGTTAAATAATGTGGGAGCCAGAGGACATCCCTGTCGCACCCCAAGGTGTACAGGGAAAGGCTCGGACTCCCGGCCACGTAGTTTTACCCGGGCCCACTCACCATCATGAAGGTCCTTAATGATCGTGAGCAGAGGGTCAGGGACTCCGAAAGCACGAAGAACAACCCAGAGCCCAGGCCTACTGATGGTATCATAGGCCTTGACCAGGTCAATAAAGCAGAGATGTAGGTCTTGCTGGAATTCCATACACCTCTGCTGTAGCAGACGGACAGAAAACATGGCATCTGTGCAGGACCGCCCTTTCCTGAAACCGCATTGGGGCTCCGCAAGCCTCTCCTCAGCGTGCCTGGCAAGGCGATGTTGAATAATCCTTGCCAGGACCTTTCCCGGCACACTGACGAGTGAGGTGCCCCTGTAGTTGTTACAGTCTGTGCGGTCCCCCTTCTTAAAGAGGGGGACCACCAGGGCATCCTTCCAATCTTGCGGAACCCGTCCAGTGGTCCAGACTGTTGTTATGATGTCATATAGGGCAGTCTGTGCACAAACTCCACCCTCCCTCAGCATTTCGCTTGGGAGATCATCTCTGCCCGCTGCCTTTCCTGGTCTCAGACTCCGGATCGCCCTCAGTACTTCCTCAACAGATGGCACTTCAGCCAGCCACTCACAGGGGGTGACTTCTTCCAATATTTGAGGGACCGCAGCCTCAGCAGGGTCATCCTCACTTTGTGCCACAATGTTTTCCTGGCTGAGGGATTTTTCCTCACCCAGGACCTCACAGAAATGCTCAGCAAATCTGCAAACCTGTTCCTGGGGGTCGGAGATTGGATCACCGTTTTTTCCCCTAATGATGGTAATAGGTGTGGCGCTGCAGGTTATTTTTTTGATGGAGTTAAATAGAGATTTGTGATCGCGGGCCACTGAGGCAGACTCCATCTCCTCAGCAACCCGCGACCACCACCCATCATTGCAGCGCCTCACAGCTCTCCGAACCTCCAAGCGAAAGTTGCGGTAAGCCTCCTCATTCTCTGATGTGGAATTCTGTAGCCGATGACAGTGGGCCTGTCGCTTTTTCTCAACCATCCTGAACACCTCCTCTGTCAGCCAGGGTCTCTGGGGAGGTCCTGACCGCGTACCCAAAGCAGATATTGCAGCCGCATGAGTCACAGTTCTAAACCTCGCCCATTTACCCTCGACATCAGAGGGAGTGGGGGACGATGCCAACCCCAGCCGCAGGCGATGATGAAATTCTCGTTTGCAACTTTCATCAGATAACCGAGACCAGGCCACTTTTGGTTGGAATGGGGTCCTGGGTGTACACCCACCACCAGAGCGGAAGAATGGGCGGCGCATCTTACAGATGACAAGTCGATGGTCAGAGGGCAGAGTAGCTCCACGGTAGGTCCTGGTGTCAAGGACATGGGCTCGCATCCGCTGGTCCATCACTATGTAGTCCAGCAGATGTTCTTGCTTGGACCCGGCATGCATCCATGATGTTGTGTGGATACGCCGATGCCGGAACAGCGTGTTGGTAATTACAAGTCCATGGGCTGCACAAAAATCTAGCAGCCTCCTACTATTGTTATTAAGCTGATTCGACCCATGCCCTCCAATCACTCCAGGCCAGGTGCCAGCATCATGACCAACTCGGGCATTGAAGTCACCCAACAAGATGACTCTATTCTGAGGGGCCACTTTAGCCAGCACCTGTGACAGGAGGTCATAGAAGGCATCTGACTCATCGGCTTTGCCTGCATCCCTCCACGGATGTTCGTCTTTGGTGGGGGCATAAGTAACCACGACCACCAATCTTCGCCTCCTATTGATGGGAAGGCGAGCCCAAAGTAGCCTGGGGCTTACAGCTTCCCACACCTCACCACCACGCTCCCACGCCCCCTTCATTCTTTTGTTCAAAAGAAGAGCCACACCCTGTTGTTTGGCAGTCTCCTGCCCCGAGTAGAGGACTGTCCACCCCTCATGGTGGGAGGAGCCAGAACCGGTCCACCGGACCTCCTGAATGCCACAGAGATCCAGGCGGTACCGGTCCAGCTCCCGACAGAGGAGTGGTAGCCTCTCCTCCGCAGTGAGCGTTCGAACATTCCACGTGGCCATCCGTAGGGGCTTTTCGTTGTTTCTGGAGGAGCCCCGAGGGTTGAGATTCAATCTCCTGGCTCCGCCAATTGGGGTTTGGCCAGGAGACGTCATAGACGCCTGTCCCCCCGGGGCCTCCGGCACAAGCTTATTTGTTACATATTTAAGTTTAAGTCGTAGTTTCGTGGTAATTTTTGAAGGTGGAGGGGTTACCAGCCCCTCGCACCCGTCCAGAGCCCCTGTTAAGCCCCTGTGGTGGTCACAGACGCCATGAGGGAAGGAACCAATCAGAATTGGCCCTCCCCCTACAGCACTGTCCACGACAGAGTTGCCCGTCCGGCACCGCGAGGAGGTAGGGGGTTGTTTTACACACACACACGTACTCACGTACACACACACGTACTCACGTACACACACACACGTACTCACGTACACACACACACGTACTCACGTACACACACACACGTACTCACGTACACACACACACGTACTCACGTACACACACACACGTACACACACACGTACTCACGTACACACGTACTCACGTACTCACGTACACACGTACACACGTACTCACGTACACACACCTACTCACGTACACACACCTACTCACGTACACACACCTACTCACGTACACACACCTACTCACGTACACACACTCGCGTACACACACACACGTACTCACGTACACACACACGTACTCACGTACACACACACATACGTACACACACACACGGACACACACGTACACACACACACGTACACACACACACGTACACACACACACGTACACACACACACTCACGTACACGTACACACACACACACACGTACACACACACTCACGTCGCTTCGCTGAACGCGAACATCTCCACGTCGCTGGCCCCGTCGCTCGAGCAAACGACTGCGGCGGACAAGGCGGGGGGGGGGGGGGGCAGACAGTGACGTCACCAGGGGGGGCAGACAGTGACGTCAACAGGGGGGGCAGACAGTGACGTCAACAGGGCAACGCGGGGGGGGGGGGGGCAGACAGTGACGTCAACAGGTCAAAGATCACTCGCGGGGCCTGGAAGACACTGATGGGCATGGTGCTGCTGTGTACCGTGTGTGTACTGTGTGTGTGTACTGTGTGTGTGTACTGTGTGTACTGTGTGTGTGTACTGTGTGTACTGTGTGTGTGTACTGTGTGTACTGTGTGTGTGTACTGTGTGTACTGTGTGTGTGTGTACTGTGTGTGTGTACTGTGTGTGTGTGTACTGTGTACCGTGTGTGTACTGTGTGTGTGTGTACTGTGTGTGTGTGTACTGTGTGTATGTGTGTGTGTACTGTGTGTGTGTACTGTGTGTGTGTACTGTGTGTGTGTGTACTGTATGTGCGTGAACTGTGTGTGTACTGTGTGTGTGTGTGTACTGTGTGTGTACTGTGTGTGTACTGTGTACTGTGTGTGTGTACAGTGTGTGTGTGTACTGTGTACTGTGTGTGTGTACTGTGTGTGTGTACTGTGTGGGTGTACTGTGTGTGTGTGTACTGTGTACTGTGTGTGTGTACTGTGTGTGTGTACTGTGTGTGTGTACTGTGTGTGTGTACTGTGTGTGTACCGTGTGTGTACTGTGTGTGTGTACTGTGTGGGTGTGTGTGTGAACTGTGTGAACTGTGTGTGTACTGTGTGTGTGTACTGTGTGTGTACTGTGTGTGTACTGTGTGTGTATGTACTGTGTGTGTACTGTGTGTGCGTACTGTGTGTGCGTACTGTGTACTGTGTGTGTACTGTATGTGTGTACTGTGTGTACTGTGTACTGTGTGTGTACTGCGTGTGTACTGCGTGTACTGTATCTCTGTGAGTCTATGGATCTCTCTGAGTCTGTGAGTCTCTGTGTGAGTCTGTGGGTCTCTGTGTGAGTCTGTGGCTCTCTGTGTGAGTCTGTGGTTCTCTGTGTGAGTCTATGGGTCTCTGTGTAATTCTGTGTCTCTGTGTGAGTCTATGTGTCTATGTGTGAGTCTATGGGTCACTGTGTGAGTCTATGGGTGTCTGTGCGAGTCTATGGGTCTCTGTGTGAGTCTATGGGTCTTTGTGTGAGTCTGTGGGTCTCTGTGTAATTCTATGTGTCTATGTGTGAGTCTGTGTCTATGTGTGAGTCTGTGGGTCTCTGTGTGAGTCTATGGGTCTCTGTGTGAGTCTATGGGTCTCTGCGTGAGTCTATGGGTCTTTGTGTGAGTCTGTGGGTCTCTGTGTGAGTCTATGGGTCCCTGTGTAATTCTATGTGTCTCTGTGTGAGTCTATGTGTCTATGTGTGAGTCTATGTGTCTATGTGTGAGTCTGTGGGTCTCTGTGTGAGTATGTGTGTCTCTGTGTGAGTCTGCGGGTCTCTGAGTGAGTCTGTGGGTCTCTGTGTGAGACTGTGGGTCTCTGTGTGAGTCTGTGGGTCTCTGTGTGAGTGTATGGGTCTCTGTGTGAGTCTATGGGTCTCTGTGTGAGTCTATGGGTCTGTGTGAGTCTGTGGGTCTCTGTGTGAGTCTGTGTGTCTCTGTGTGAGTCTGCGGGTCTCTGAGTGAGTCTGTGGGTCTCTGTGTGAGTCTGTGGGTCTCTGTGTGAGTCTGTGGGTCTCTGTGTGAGTGTATGGGTCTCTGTGTCAGTCTGTGGGACTCTGTGTGAGTCTGTGAGTCTCTGTGTGAGTCTATGGGTCCCTGAAGTGAGTCTGTGGGTCTCTGTGTGAGTCTGTGGGTCTCTGTGAGTGTATGGGTCTCTGTGTGAGTCTATGGCTCTCTGTGTGAGTCTATGGGTCCCTGTGTGAGTCTATGGGACTCTGTGTGAGTCTATGGGTCTCTGTGTGAGTCTGTGGGTCTCTGTGTGAGTCTGTCTCTGTGTGAGTCTGCGGGTCTCTGAGTGAGTATGTGGGTCTCTGTGTGAGTCTGTCTGTCTCTGAGTGAGTCTATGGGTCTCTGTGTGAGTCTATGGGTCTCTGTGTGAGTCTATGGGTCGCTGTGTGAGTCTATGGGTCGCTGTGTGAGTCTATGTGTCTCTGTGTGAGTCTATGGGTCTCTGTGTGAGTCTATGGGTCTCTGTGTGAGTCTGTATGTATGCCATGCTAATTGGAGGTGCGGGGTGGGACAAGAAACTTCACACAAAACGCCGTTCTCGATTTAAAGGGAAAAAAGCTCCAGTGGCTTCCTAATGGGTGTTAGCGAATAGCACCCTCACCACCACCCTCACCACCACCCTCACCACCACCCTCACCACCACCTTCACCACCACCCTCACCACCACCCTCAACACCACCACCCTCACCACCACCCTCAACACCACCACCCTCAACACCACCCTCACCACCATGAGTGAGTCTATGGGTCTTTGTGTGAGTCTGTGGGTCTCTGTGTGAGTCTATGGGTCCCTGTGTAATTCTATGTGTCTCTGTGTGAGTCTATGTGTCTATGTGTGAGTCTATGTGTCTATGTGTGAGTCTGTGGGTCTCTGTGTGAGTATGTGTGTCTCTGTGTGAGTCTGCGGGTCTCTGAGTGAGTCTGTGGGTCTCTGTGTGAGACTGTGGGTCTCTGTGTGAGTCTGTGGGTCTCTGTGTGAGTGTATGGGTCTCTGTGTGAGTCTATGGGTCTCTGTGTGAGTCTATGGGTCTGTGTGAGTCTGTGGGTCTCTGTGTGAGTCTGTGTGTCTCTGTGTGAGTCTGCGGGTCTCTGAGTGAGTCTGTGGGTCTCTGTGTGAGTCTGTGGGTCTCTGTGTGAGTCTGTGGGTCTCTGTGTGAGTGTATGGGTCTCTGTGTCAGTCTGTGGGACTCTGTGTGAGTCTGTGAGTCTCTGTGTGAGTCTATGGGTCCCTGAAGTGAGTCTGTGGGTCTCTGTGTGAGTCTGTGGGTCTCTGTGAGTGTATGGGTCTCTGTGTGAGTCTATGGCTCTCTGTGTGAGTCTATGGGTCCCTGTGTGAGTCTATGGGACTCTGTGTGAGTCTATGGGTCTCTGTGTGAGTCTGTGGGTCTCTGTGTGAGTCTGTCTCTGTGTGAGTCTGCGGGTCTCTGAGTGAGTATGTGGGTCTCTGTGTGAGTCTGTCTGTCTCTGAGTGAGTCTATGGGTCTCTGTGTGAGTCTATGGGTCTCTGTGTGAGTCTATGGGTCGCTGTGTGAGTCTATGGGTCGCTGTGTGAGTCTATGTGTCTCTGTGTGAGTCTATGGGTCTCTGTGTGAGTCTATGGGTCTCTGTGTGAGTCTGTATGTATGCCATGCTAATTGGAGGTGCGGGGTGGGACAAGAAACTTCACACAAAACGCCGTTCTCGATTTAAAGGGAAAAAGCTCCAGTGGCTTCCTAATGGGTGTTAGCGAATAGCACCCTCACCACCACCCTCACCACCACCCTCACCACCACCCTCACCACCACCTTCACCACCACCCTCACCACCACCCTCACCACCACCCTCACCACCACCCTCACCACAACCCTCACCACCACCCTCACCACCACCCTCACCACAACCCTCACCACCACCCTCACCACCACCCTCACCACCACCCTCACCACAACCCTCACCACCACCACCACCCTCACCACCACCCTCACCACAACCCTCACCACCACCACCACCACCCTCACCACCACCCTCACCACCACCCTCAACACCACCACCCTCAACACCACCACCCTCACCACCACCCTCACCACCACCCTCACCACAACCCTCACCACAACCCTCACCACCACCACCACCCTCACCACCACCCTCACCACCACCCTCACCACCACCCTCACCACCACCACCCTCACCACCACCCTCACCACCACCCTCACCACCATCCTCACCACCACCCTCACCACCACCCTCACCACCACACTCACCACCACCCTCACCACCACCCTCACCACCACCCTCAACACCACCACACTCACCACCACCCTCACCACCACCCTCACCACCACCCTCACCACCACCACACTCACCACCACCCTCACCACCATCCTCACCACCACCCTCAACACCACCACACTCACCACCACACTCACCACCACCACCCTCACCACTACCACCCTCACTCACCACCCTCAACCCCTCACTCACCACCCTCACCACACTCACCACCACCGTCACTCACCACCCTCACTCACCACCCTCACCACCCTCACCACCACCGCCCTCACCACCACCGCCCTCACCACCACCGCCCTCACCACCACCGCCCTCACCACCACCCTCACCACCACCACCCTCACCCCAGGTCACTCACCACCACCCTCACTCACCACCACCCTCACCACCCTCACCACCACCCTCACCCCAGGTCACTCACCACAACCCTCACCACCACAACCCTCACCACCACCCTCACCACCACCACCACCACCCTCACCACCACAACCCTCACCACCACAACCCTCACCACCACAACCCTCACCACCACCCCAGGTCACTCACCACAACCCTCACCACCACAACCCTCACCACCACAACCCTCACCACCACAACCCTCACCACCACAACCCTCACCACCACCCCGGGTCACTCACCACAACCCTCACCACCACAACCCTCACCACCACAACCCTCACCACCACAACCCTCACCACCACCCCGGGTCACTCACCACAACCCTCACCACCACAACCCTCACCACCACCCCGGGTCACTCACCACAACCCTCACCACCACAACCCTCACCACCACAACCCTCACCACCACAACCCTCACCACCACAACCCTCACCACCACAACCCTCACCACCACAACCCTCACCACCACCCCAGGTCACTCACCACAACCCTCACCACCACAACCCTCACCACCACAACCCTCACCACCACAACCCTCACCACCACAACCCTCACCACCATCCCAGGTCACTCACCGCACTGCTCCTCTGCCGCCATCTTGCGGTGACGTCACGAGCGGCGTCTCCATGGAGACTGCAGCCTCAAGCGATTCGATTCCTGACGGCATAAAATTCGGCGAGACTCGATCCAACAATCGACTTACATCCAATAACAGTGATTTCGAGTACAGACACGCGTGGATCGATTCATGAATCAAATGTTCAATGAATCGCATCTTTAAATCATAGAATCTATGACGAGTGGAATCGATACCGAGTGGAATCAACAAGGAGTGAATCTATAACACGTAGAATCGTCCACGCGTGGGATCGGCTAAGCGTTGAATCAACAACCCATCACTCTCCCACTCATTCAGTCACTCACCCACTCACTCAGCCACTCACTCAGCCACTCACTCACTCAGTCACTCACCCACTCACTCAGTCACCCACTCAGTCACTCACCCACTCAGTCAGTCACCCACCCACTCAGTCACCCACTCAGTCACTCTCCCACTCATTCAGTCACTCACCCACTCACTCAGTCACTCACTCAGTCACTCACTCACTCACCCACTCAGTCAGTCACCCACCCACTCAGTCACCCACTCAGTCACTCAATCACTCACTCAGTCACCCACTCAGTCACTCACCCACTCACTCAGTCACTCACCCACTCAGTCACCCACTCAGTCACTCAATCACTCACTCAGTCACCCACTCAGTCACTCACCCACTCACTCAGTCACTCACCCACTCACTCAGTCACCCACCCACTCACTCAGTCACCCACTCACTCAGTCACTCACTCACCCACTCAGTCACTCTCCCACTCACTCAGTCACCCACCCACTCAGTCATCCACCCACTCACTCAGTCACTCACCCACTCACTCAGTCACTCACTCACCCACTCAGTCACTCACCCACTCACTCAGTCACCCACCCACTCACTCAGTCACTCACTCACCCACTCAGTCACTCACCCACTCACTCAGTCACTCACCCACTCAGTCACCCACTCAGTCACTCAATCACTCACTCAGTCACCCACTCAGTCACTCACTCACCCACTCACTCAGTTACTCACCCACTCACTCAGTCACTCACTCACCGACTCAGTCACTCAATCACTCACTCAGTCACCCACTCAGTCACTCACTCACCCACTCACTCAGTCACCCACCCACTCACTCAGTCACTCACACACTCACTCAGTCACCCACCCACTCACTCAGTCACTCACCCACTCACTCAGTCACTCACCCACTCAGTCACTCTCCCACTCACTCAGTCACCCACCCACTCAGTCATCCACCCACTCACTCAGTCACTCACCCACTCACTCAGTCACTCACTCACCCACTCAGTCACTCACCCACTCACTCAGTCACCCACCCACTCACTCAGTCACTCACTCACCCACTCAGTCACTCACCCACTCACTCAGTCACTCACCCACTCAGTCACCCACTCAGTCACTCAATCACTCACTCAGTCACCCACTCAGTCACTCACCCACTCACTCAGTCACTCACCCACTCAGTCACCCACTCAGTCACTCAATCACTCACTCAGTCACCCACTCAGTCACTCACCCACTCACTCAGTCACTCACCCACTCACTCAGTCACCCACCCACTCACTCAGTCACCCACTCACTCAGTCACTCACTCACCCACTCAGTCACTCTCCCACTCACTCAGTCACCCACCCACTCAGTCATCCACCCACTCACTCAGTCACTCACCCACTCACTCAGTCACTCACTCACCCACTCAGTCACTCACCCACTCACTCAGTCACTCACCCACTCACTCAGTCACTCACTCACCCACTCAGTCACTCACCCACTCACTCAGTCACTCACCCACTCAGTCACCCACTCAGTCACTCAATCACTCACTCAGTCACCCACTCAGTCACTCACTCACCCACTCACTCAGTTACTCACCCACTCACTCAGTCACTCACTCACCGACTCAGTCACTCAATCACTCACTCAGTCACCCACTCAGTCACTCACTCACCCACTCACTCAGTCACCCACCCACTCACTCAGTCACTCACACACTCACTCAGTCACCCACCCACTCACTCAGTCACTCACCCACTCACTCAGTCACTCACCCACTCAGTCACCCACTCAGTCACTCACTCAGTCACTCACTCACTCACTCACCCACTCAGTCACTCACCCACTCACTCAGTCACTCACTCAGTCACTCACTCAGTCACTCACTCAGTCACTCACTCAGTCAACTCACCCACTCATTCAGTCACTCACCAAATCACTCAGTCACTCACCCACTCACTCAGTCAACTCACCCACTCACTCAGTCACTCACCCACTCACCCACTAAAGTCACTCACCCACTCACTCAGTCACCCACCCACTCACTCAGTCACTCACCCACTCAAGTCACTCACCCACTCACTCAGTCACCCACCCACTCACTCACTCATTCAGTCACACACCCACTAATTCATTCACCCACCCACTCACTAAGTCACTCACCCACTCATTCAGTCACTCACCCACTCACTCGCTCACCCACCCACTCAGTCACTCACTCAGTCACCCACTCAGTCACTCACCCATCCACCCACTCACCCATCCAAAGACAAAGATCCCCCATATAGCCTTAACAGACTGTAGGGGCAAGTGCTGTTAGCGAGCACCTATGAAGGCCGGAACGGTACACGAGGGGGTGGGTGGCCAGCACCACGCCCGACCGCCTTTGTCTCCCAAGTGGCAATGTTTACACACCGCACCAGGTACTCATTTGAGGCTGAGTCGACCTAGGGGAGGCCCGGGACCGGTTCAGATAATCGTCACTGGTGTTGGCCGTGAGCGGGAATCGAACCCGGGTCGCCAGGTTCATAGCGCAGCGCGCTAACCGCTACACTACCGCTCCCCACTCACCCATCCACCCACTCACTCACACACCCACTCACTCAGTCACCCACTCCCTCAGTCACTCACTCAGTCACTCCGTCACTCACTCACTCAGTCACCCACTCACTCAGTCACTCACTCACCCACCCACCCATCCACCCACTCACACATCCACCCACTCAGTCACTCACCCACTCACTCAGTCGCTCACCCAGTCGCTCACCCACTCACTCACTCACCCACTCACTCAGTCACCCACTCAGTCACTCAGTCACCCACTCATTCAGTCACCCACACACTCACTAAGTCACTCACCCACTCATTCAGTCACTCACCCACCCACTCACTCGCTCACCCACCCACTCAGTCACTCACTCACCCATCCACCCACTCACTCAGTCACTCACCCACTCACTCAGTCACTCACCCACTCAGTCACTCACCCACTTACTCAGTCACTCACCCACTCAAGTCACTCACCCACGCATTCAGTCACTCACCCAATCACTGTCACTCACCCACTCACTCACTCACCCACTCAGTCACTCACTCAAGTCACTCACCCAGTCACTCACCCACTCACTCAGTCACTCACCCACTCAGTCACCCACTCAAGTCACTCACCCAGTCACTCACCCACTCACTCAGTCACTCACCCACTCACTCAGTCACTCACCCACTCAGTCACTCAGTCACTCACCCACTCAGTCACCCACTCAGTCACCCACTCAGTCACCCACTCAGTCACTCACCCACCTACTCAGTCACTCAGTCACCCACTTACCCATGCACCCACTCACCCATCCACTCACTCACTCACCCATACAATCACCCACTCACCCACCCACCGACCCACCCACCCATCCACTCGTCCACTCACTCACCCACTCAACCACCCACCCACGCCACCCACCCCATCAACTAAACGCGAGTCTCGGCTCCATTTCCAGTTTCATATTTTTACTCCATCAGCACAAAGTGACAGCACGAAAGACGGGGGGGAGCGGGGAGGGGGGGGGGCTTGGGGGGGGGGCTTGGGGGGGGGGGGCTTGGGGAGGGACGCGGAGGAGAGGAGAGGAGGGGGGCTAGGTGGAGGCTGGGGGCGGGGGGGTATCAACAATTCATGCATGTGCCATCGCTACAAACATTAAGACTGGCTTAATATATATAGATAAAGAGAGAAACATACGACTCGCGTTCAAAGTCGTACCGCAGCTGTTTAAAACCAAGACTGAGCATCTTCGTCCTTTCATTAAATAATTAACGCTCCTAAAGACCGCGAGGACGCGCCGCGGTAGGGGTAAGAGGGGCGCGATGTGGAACGAGTCGACGAATGAATGAATGAATGAAGGAGGAGAAGGAGTGTCCAGCACGAGTGAGAGAGAGAGTGAGAGAGAGAGAGGCCCTCGCGTTCTCTCGAGGAACGTCGTTCCCTGCGGAATTGCTGGTGCCGGTCACATCAGCGGCGGCGGCGGCGGCCAGCCAGTAGCAACCTCGTGACATCACTACTGACGCCAACTGGTGCTGTCACTAGTGACGTCACTAGAGCTGTCACTAGTGACGTCACTAGAGCTGTCACTAGTGACGTCAGTAGTGCTGTCACTAGTGACGTCACTAGAGCTGTCACTAGTGACGTCAGTAGTGCTGAAGCTGTCACTAGTGATGTCAACTGGCGCTGTCACTAGTGACGTCAACTGGTGATGTCGCTAGTGACGTCACTGGTGATGATGCCACTAGTGACGTCACTGGAGCTGTCACTAGTGACGGCACTAGCGACGTCAACTGGTGCCGTCACTAGTGACATCGCTAGCGACAGCACTAGTGACGTCACTAGTGCTATCACTGGAGCTGTCACTAGTGACAGCACTTGTGACGGCTCCAGTGACGGCTCCAGTGACGTCACTAGTGACATCACCAGTTGACATCACTAGTGAAAGCTCCAGTGACATCACTAGTGACAGTTCCAGTGAGACAGCTCTAGTGACGTCACTAGAGACAGCTCTAGTGACGTCACTAGTGACAGCTCTAGTGACATCACTAGGGACGTCAGCTCTAGTGACCGTCACTGGTGACATCACTAGTGACGTCAGCTCCAGTGACCGTCACTGGTGACGTCACTAGTGTCAGCTCTAGTGACGTCACCCGGCACTACCGGCGGCACAAACCACCAGCGGCGGGGCCTCAGCAGAGCACGGTCAACACAGTGCGCTACAATAAATAACAGCAGCAGCTACAGCTGCAGCAGCAGCTGTAGCTGTAGTAGTAGTAATAATAATAAGGCTCGCCGGGCCCCAACCACGCCCCGCAGGGAGACCCGCTATGTACACACAGAACGCCGCCACCACCACCACCACGGCCACCACCACCACCACCACGGCCACCACCACCACCACCATGGCCACCACCACCACCACGGCCACCACCACCACCACAACACGTGTGGAGAGGAAGGCGGCGCGGGCCTCCTTCTGGACAGGGTCCACGCGCCGGCGGATTTCACGGTGGAATCGGGACAGCTCGGCTTACCGACAACTTCAATTATAGGGGATGGAGTGGGCGGTGGTGGCGGTGGCGGTGGTGGCGGTGGTGGTGGTGGCGGTGGTTCCGGCTACGCGTCTCGCGCTAGCGTTCGAGCGAGGAGGGGGGGGAGAGACGGTCTGTGGGTCTCTGTGTGGTGAGTCTGTGGGTCTCTGTGTGGTGAGTCTGTGGGTCTCTGCTGTGTGGTGAGTCTATGGGTCTCTGTGTGGTGAGTCTGTGGGTCTCTGTGTGGTGAGTCTGTGGGTCTCTGTGTGGTGAGTCTGTGGGTCTCTGTGTGGTGAGTCTGTGGGTCTCTGTGTGGTGAGTCTGTGGGTTTCTGTGTGTGAGTCTATGGGTCTCTATGTGGTGAGTCTATGGGTCTCTGTGTGGTGAGTCCATGGGTCTCTGTGTGGTGAGTCTGTGGGTCTCTGTGTGGTGAGTCTGTAGGTCTCTGTGTGGTGAGTCCATGGGTCTCTGTGTGCTGAGTCTATGGGTCTCTGTGTGGTGAGTCTATGGGTCCCTGTGTGGTGAGTCTATGGGTCTCTGTGTGATGAGTCTGTGGGTCTCTGTGCGAGTCTATGGGGACAGGATGGCAGTGACGACTACGTTATGTACACGTGGGATGCACACACACACACGCACACACTCACACACGCACACACACACAAACGCACACACGTACACACACACGCCCTCCCCTTCCTCCTCCGCTCTCCTCGCGACCACCACGAGGATTTGGTCCTTGACACGGCGCTGGGTGGGTGTGGGGGGCGGTGCGCGGTGGGGGGCCGGTGGGGGGAGAGAGGGGGGGGGCGCTGACGGGGGGGGGGGGGCGTAACAAGCCAACTGCGTAAAAAGCGCGCACTTAAATTAAGGGGAATGCGCCGGTGAGTTGAGTTGAGGTGGGTTGAGTTGGGGTGAGTTGGGGTGAGTTGAGGTGAGTTGAGGTGAGTTGGGGTGAGTTGGGGTGAGTTGGGGTGAGTTGAGGTGAGTTGGGGTGAGTTGAGTGTTGTCTCGGTGTCCAAATGTGTGGTGTGCACGAGGCCTGGCAAAGTGCACCTGGCTGGCTGTGTGGGTGGGTGGGTGGGTGGCTGAGTGGGTAGCTGGGTGGGTGGCTGGGTGGGTGGCTGAGTGGGTGGGTGGCTGGGTGGGTGGCTGGGTGGGTGGCTGAGTGGGTGGGTGGCTAACTGGGTGGGTGGGTGGCTGGGTGGGTAGCTGAGTGGGTGGGTGGCTTGGTGGCTGGGTGGGTGGCTGGGTGGGTGGCTGAATGGGTGGGTGGCTGGGTGGGTGGCTGGGTGGGTGGCTAACTGGGTGGGTGGGTGGCTGGGTGGGTGGCTGGGTGGGTGGGTGGGTGGCTTGGTGGGTGGGTGGGTGGCTGGCTGGGTGGGTGGCTGGGTGGGTGGGTGGGTGGCTGGGTGGGTGGGTGGGTAGCTGAGTGGGTGGCTGGATGGCTGGGTGGGTGGCTGAGTGGGTGGCTGGATGGCTGGGTGGGTGGCTGTCTGAGTGGGTGGGTGGCTGGGTGGGTGGCTGGGTGGGTGGCTGGGTGGGTTACTGGGTGGCTGGCTGGGTGGGTGGGTGGCTGGGTGGGTGGCTGGGTGAGTGGCTGGGTGGGTGGCTGGGTGGGTGGGTGGGTGGCTGGGTGGGTGGGTGGCTGGCTGGGTGGGTTGCTGACTGAGTGGCTGGCTGTGTGGCTGGGTGGCTGGGTAGGTGGCTGGGTGGGTGGGTGGCTGGGTGGGTGGCTGGGTGGGTGGCTGGGTGGGTGGGTGGCTGGGTGGGTGGCTGGGTGGGTGGGTGGCTGGGTGGGTGGGTGGCTGGGTGGGTTGCTGATTGGGTGGCTGGCTGTGTGGCTGGGTGGCTGGGTAGGTGGCTGGGTGGGTGGGTGGGTGGCTGGGTGGGTGGGTGGCCGGCTGGGTGGGTGGCTGGGTGGGTTGCTGACTGGGTGGCTGGGTGGGTGGGTGGCTGAGTGGCTGGCTGGGTGGCTGGCTGGGTGGGTGGGTGGCTGGCTGGCTGGGTGGCTGGGTGGCTGGCTGGGTGGCTGGGTGGCTGGGTGGCTGGGTGGGTTGCTGACTGGGTGGGTGGCTGGGTGGGTTACTGGGTGGCTGGCTGCATGGCTGGGTGGCTGGGTAGGTGGCTGGGTGGGTGGGTGGCTGGGTGGGTGGCTGGGTGAGTGGCTGGGTGGGTGGCTGGGTGGGTGGGTGGGTGGCTGGGTGGGTGGGTGGCTGGCTGGGTGGGTGGCTGGGTGGGTTGCTGACTGAGTGGCTGGCTGTGTGGCTGGGTGGCTGGGTAGGTGGGTGGGTGGGTGGGTGGGTGGCTGGGTGGCTGGGTGGGTGGCTGGGTGGGTGGGTGGCTGGGTGGGTGGCTGGGTGGGTGGGTGGCTGGGTGGGTGGGTGGCTGGGTGGGTGGGTGGCTGGGTGGGTGGCTGACTGGGTGGCTGGCTGTGTGGCTGGGTGGCTGGGTAGGTGGCTGGGTGGGTGGGTGGGTGGCTGGGTGGGTGGGTGGCTGGGAGGGTGGGTGGCTGGGTGGGTGGGTGGCTGGCTGGGTGGGTGGCTGGGTGGGTTGCTGACTGGGTGGCTGGGTGGGTGGGTGGCTGAGTGGCTGGCTGGGTGGGTGGGTGGCTGGCTGGCTGGGTGGCTGGGTGGGTGGCTGGGTGGCTGGGTGGCTGGGTGGGTTGCTGACTGGGTGGCTGGGTGGCTGGGTGGCTGGGTGGGTTGCTGACTGGGTGGCTGGCTGTGTGGCTGGGTGGCTGGGTAGGTGGCTGGGTGGGTGGGTGGGTGGCTGGGTGGGTGGGTGGCTGGGTGGGTGGCTGGCTGGGTGGGTGGCTGGGTGGGTTGCTGACTGGGTGGCTGGGTGGGTGGGTGGCTGGGTGGGTGGCTGGGTGGCTGGGTGGGTTGCTGACTGGGTGGCTGGGTGGCTGGGTGGGTGGCTGGGTGGCTGGCTGGGTGGCTGGGTGGCTGGGTGGGTGGGTGGCTGGCTGGCTGGGTGGCTGGGTGGCTGGGTGGGTGGGTGACTGGGTGGCTGGGTGGGTGGCTGGGTGGCTGGGTGGCTGGGTGGGTTGCTGACTGGGTGGCTGACTGGGTGGCTGGGTGGCTGGGTGGCTGGGTGGGTTGCTGACTGGGTGGCTGGGTGGCTGGGTGGCTGGGTTGCTGGCTGGGTGGGTGGCTGGGTGGCTGGGTGGGTGGGTGGGTGGCTGGGCGGGTGGGTGGGTGGCTGGCTGGCTGGGTGGGTGGCTGGGTGGGTTGCTGACTGGGGTGGCTGGGTGGGTGGCTGGGTGGGTGGCTGGGTGGGTGGCTGGGTGGGTGGGTGGCTGGGTGGGTGGGTGGCTGGGTGGGTTGCTGACTGGGTGGCTGGCTGTGTGGCTGGGTGGCTGGGTAGGTGGGTGGGTGGGTGGGTGGGTGGCTGGGTGGGTGGGTGGGTGGCGGGGTGGGTGGGTGGGTGGCTGGGTGGGTGGGTGGCTGGCTGGGTGGGTGGCTGGGTGGGTTGCTGACTGGGTCGCTGGGTGGGTGGGTGGCTGAGTGGCTGGCTGGGTGGCTGGCTGGGTGGGTGGGTGGCTGGCTGGCTGGGTGGCTGGCTGGGTGGGTGGGTGGCTGGCTGGGTGGGTGGCTGGGTGGGTTGCTGACTGGGTGGCTGGCTGGGTGGGTGGCTGGGTGGGTTGCTGACTGGGTGGGTGGCTGGGTGGGTGGCTGGGTGGCTGGGTGGCTGGCTGGGTGGGTGGCTGGGTGGCTGGGTGGGTGGCTGCGTGGCTGGGTGGGTGGCTGGGTGGCTGGCTGGGTGGGTTGCTGACTGGGTGGCTGGGTGGGTGGGTGGCTGGGTGGCTGGGTGGGTGGCTGGGTGGCTGGGTGGCTGGGTGGCTGGGTGGCTGGGTGGGTTGCTGACTGGGTGGCTGACTGGGTTGCTGACTGGGTGGCTGGGTGGGTGGGTGGCTGGGTGGGTGGGTGGGTGGCTGGGTGGGTGGGTGGGTGGGTGGGTGGCTGGGTGGGTGGGTGGGTGGCTGGGTGGCTGGCTGGCTGGGTGGGTGGCTGGGTGGCTGGGTGGCTGGCTGGCTGGGTGGGTGGCTGGGTGGCTGGTTGGGTGGCTGGGTGGCTGGGTGGCTGGGTGGGTGGCTGGGTGGGTGGCTGGGTGGGTGGCTGGGTGGGTGGCTGGGTGGGTGGCTGGGTGGCTGGGTGGCTGGGTGGCTGGGTGGGTGGCTGGGTGGCTGGGTGGGTTGCTGACTGGGTGGCTGGGTGGGTGGCTGGGTGGGTGGCTGGGTGGGTGGCTGGGTGGCTGGGTGGCTGGGTGGCTGGGTGGGTGGCTGGGTGGCTGGGTGGGTTGCTGACTGGGTGGCTGGGTGGGTGGCTGGGTGGGTGGCTGGGTGGGTGGCTGTCGCGTGCGGAGAGTTTGGACCCACGCGGGTCGCGTCAGCGCGATGAGTCTTCAGCTGCCGCCGCTGATTCCGCCTTCAAGTTTCCAGTTCTCGTTTTTTTTTAGTTAATTTTTTTTAAATCGTTGATTACAAAAACCGTGGTGGTGGGTGGGGGGCGGGCCGAGAGGGGAGACGATTCACCAGGCCTCCGTGTACCGGATGTCCACCTCTTTCAGGTTGGGCAGCTTGGCCTGCGCGCCACAGGGAAGACAAAGGGGGCAGGGGATGGAGATTGGGGGGGGGGTGCATTCAAAGACCTCCAGAGCCCCCCACCCCCCCCCCCCCGAGTTGTCTCTTGCGTAGGTCAGGTGACCAGGTCGTCAGGTGGCCAGGTTGTCAGGTGACCAGGTCGTCAGGTGACCAGGTCGTCAGGTGACCAGATCGTCAGGTGACCAGGTGGTCAGGTGACCTGGTCGTCAGGTGACCTGGTCGTCAGGTGACCAGGTCGTCAGGTGACCAGATCGTCAGGTGACCAGGTCGTCAGGTGACCAGGTCGTCAGGTGGTCAGGTGACCAGGTCGTCAGGTGGTCAGGTGACCAGGTCGTCAGGTGACCAGGTCGTCAGGTGGTCAGGTGACCAGGTCGTCAGGTGGTCAGGTCGTCAGGTGGTCAGGTGACCAGGTCGTCAGGTGGTCAGGTGACCAGGTCGTCAGGTGGTCAGGTGACCAGATCGTCAGGTGACCAGGTCGTCAGGTGTCGCAAGGTGACCAGGTCGTCAGGTGGTCAGGTGACCAGGTCGTCAGGTGGTCAGGTCGTCAGGTGTCGCAAGGTGACCAGGTCGTCAGGTGGTCAGGTGACCAGATCGTCAGGTGACCAGGTCGTCAGGTGACCAGGTCGTCAGGTGTCGCAAGGTGACCAGGTCGTCAGGTGGTCAGGTGACCAGGTGGTCAGGTGACCAGGTCGTCAGGTGGTCAGGTGACCAGGTCGTCAGGTGGTCAGGTGACCAGATCGTCAGGTGACCAGGTCGTCAGGTGTCGCAAGGTGACCAGGTCGTCAGGTGGTCAGGTGACCAGGTCGTCAGGTGGTCAGGTCGTCAGGTGTCGCAAGGTGACCAGGTCGTCAGGTGGTCAGGTGACCAGATCGTCAGGTGACCAGGTCGTCAGGTGACCAGGTCGTCAGGTGTCGCAAGGTGACCAGGTCGTCAGGTGGTCAGGTGACCAGGTGGTCAGGTGACCAGGTGGTCAGGTGACCAGGTCGTCAGGTGTCGCAAGGTTACCAGGTCACCGTGCCACCAGGACCGGGTTCAGATCATCGTCACCGACGACGGTGACGATGATGGTGGCGGTGGTGGCGGCGGCGGTGGCGGCCGTGAGCGGGACTCCAACTCTGCCCCGCCGGGGTTCGTGGCGCGGCGCGGTTCGGCGCTAGCGGCTCCACCACCACCACCACCAGCGCTCCACCACGAGACACCAAGACAAAGATCCCCCGTGCGAGGCCTTCACGACAGGCTGACGGCGGGAGCAAGGGCAGCTTCTCCCAGCGTACCTTGAGGTCCTCGAAGGTGCCGGCCGTCAGCTTGGTGCTGTTCATGTTCAGGATGCACAGGCTCTTCATGGCTGGTATGGGCCGCGGGGTTACGGTGACGTGAGGTCACGGGGATAGGGGGCGGGGGGACACGGGGGGCACGGGGTCACGGGGGTCACGGGGGTCACGGGGGATACAGGGGTCACGGGGGATACAGGGGTATGGGGACATGGGGATAAGGAGACACAGGGACATGGGGACAAGGAGACACAGGGACATGGGGACAAGGAGACACAGGGACACGATAAAGATATTGTCCGGCTGTACTGAGTGAGTGGTGGTCGTACTGTCTGGCTGTGCTGAGTGAGTGGTGGTCGTACTGTCTGACTGTACTGAGTGAGTGGTGGTCATACTGTCTGACTGTACTGAGTGAGTGGTGGTCGTACTGTCTGACTGTGCTGAGTGAGTGGTGGTCGTACTGTCCGACTGTACTGAGTGAGTGGTGGTCGTACTGTCTGACTGTGCTGAGTGAGTGGTGGTCGTACTGTCTGGCTGTGCTGAGTGAGTGGTGGTCGTACTGTCTGACTGTACTGAGTGAGTGGTGGTCGTACTGTCTGACTGTGCTGAGTGAGTGGTGGTCGTACTGTCCGACTGTACTGAGTGAGTGGTGGTCGTACTGTCCGGCTGTACTGAGTGAGTGGTGGTCGTACTGTCTGACTGTGCTGAGTGAGTGGTGGTCGTACTGTCTGACTGTGCTGAGTGAGTGGTGGTCGTACTGTCCGGCTGTACTGAGTCAGTGGTGGTCGTACTGTCCGGCTGTACTGAGTGAGTGGTGGTCGTACTGCCCGGCTGTACTGAGTGAGTGGTGGTCGTACTGTCCGGTTGTACTGAGTGAGTGGTGGTCGTACTGTCTGGCTGTACTGAGTGAGTGGTGGTCGTACTGTCTGACTGTACTGAGTGAGCGGTGGTCGTACTGTCTGACTGTACTGAGTGAGTGGTGGTCGTACTGTCTGGCTGTACTGAGTGAGCGGTGGTCGTACTGTCTGACTGTACTGAGTGAGTGGTGGTCGTACTGTCTGACTGTACTGAGTGAGTGGTGGTCGTACTGTCTGACTGTACTGAGTGAGTGGTGGTCGTACTGTCTGACTGTACTGAGTGAGTGGTGGTCGTACTGTCTGGCTGTACTGAGTGAGTGGTGGTCATACTGACTGACTGTACTGAGTGAGTGGTGGTCGTACTGTCTGACTGTACTGAGTGGTGGTCATACTGTCTGACTGTACTGAGTGGTGGTCCTACTGACTGCTGGCTGTGCTGAGTGAGTGGTGGTCCTACTGACTGCTGACTGTACTGAGTGAGTGGTGGTCATACTGACTGCTGGCTGTGCTGAGTGAGTGGTGGTACCTGTGAGTGCGTGGAGTCCGTCGTCCGTGACCGGGGTCTCACACAGGTTCAGCACCTGTAGCGTGGGCAGGTGTTCCGACAGCAGCCGCAGGCCCGAGTCGCCAAACTACGCACGGTGAACACCATCAGCAGCATCAGCGCCATCAGCATCACCAACACCATCAGCAGCATCAGCGCCATCAGCGCCATCAGGACCATCAGCACCATCAGCAGCATCAGCGCTATCAGCACCATCAGCACCATCAGCACCATCAGCAGCATCAGCGCCATCAGCACCATCAGCACCATCAGCACCACCATCAGAAGCATCACCAAACCATCAGCAGCATCAGCGCCATCAGCGCCATCAGCACCATCAGCACCATCAGCAGTATCAGCGCCATCAGCACCATCAGCACCACCATCAGAAGCATCACCAACACCATCAGCAGCATCAGCGCCATCAGCGCCATCAGCGCCATCAGCACCATCAGCACCACCATCAGAAGCATCACCAGCGCCATCAACACCATCAGCGCCATCATCAACACCATCAGCGCCATCAACACCACCATCAGCGCCATCACCAACACCTTCAGCACCATCATCAACACCATCAGCGCCATCAACACCACCATCAGAGCCATCACCAACACCATCAGCGCCATCAACACCACCATCAGCGCCCTCAACAACACCATCAGCGCCATCATTAACACCATCAGCGCCATCAACACCACCATCAGCGCTATCAACACCACCATCAGCGCCATCATCAACACCATCAGCGCCATCAACACCACCATCAGCACCATCACCAACACCATCAGCAACACCATCAGCGCTATCAACACCACCATCAGCACCATCAACACCACCATCAGCAACACTATCAGCGCCATCAACACCACCATCAGCGCCATCATCAACACCATCAGCGCCATCATCAACACCATCAGCGCCATCAACACCACCATCAGCGCCATCATCAACACCATCAGCGCCATCATCAACACCATCAGCGCCATCATCAACACCATCAGCGCCATCAACACCACCATCAGCGCTATCAACACCACCATCAGCACCATCACCAACACCATCAGCACCATCACCAACACCATCAGCGCCATCAACACCACCATCAGCGCCATCAACAACACCATCAGCGCCATCACCAACACCTTCAGCACCATCAACAACACCATCAGAAGCATCATCAACACCACCAGCGCCATCAACACCACCATCAGCGCCATCTCCAACACCATCAGCGCCATCAACACCACCGTCAGCGCCATCACCAACACCATCAGCGCCATCATCAACACCATCAGCGCCATCACCAACACCATCAGCGCCATCATCAACACCATCAGCGCCATCATCAACACCATCAGCACCATCACCAACACCATCAGCGCCATCAACACCACCATCAGCGCCATCAACACCATCAGCGCCATCAACAACACCATCAGCGCCCTCAGCACGGCCGGTACCATCACCAACACCATCAGCGCCATCATCAACACCATCAGCGCCATCATCAACACCATCAGCACCATCACCAACACCATCAGCGCCATCAACACCACCATCAGCGCCATCAACACCACCATCAGCGCCATCACCAACACCATCAGCGCCATCATCAACACCACCAGCGCCATCAACACCACCATCAGCGCCATCAACAACACCATCAGCACCATCACCAACACCATCAGCGCCATCAACACCACCGTCAGCGCCATCACCAACACCATCAGCGCCATCAACAACACCATCAGCGCCATCAACAACACCATCAGCGCCATCAACAACACCATCAGCGCCATCAACACCACCATCAGCGCCATCATCAACACCATCAGCGCCATCAACAACACCATCAGCGCCATCACCAACACCATCAGCGCCATCAACAACACCATCAGCGCCATCAACACCACCGTCAGCGCCATCAACACCACCGTCAGCGCCATCACCAACACCATCAGCGCCATCACCAACACCATCAGCACCATCATCAACACCATCAGCACCATCATCAACACCATCAGCGCCATCAACACCACCATCAGCGCCATCATCAACACCATCTAGCGCCATCACCAACACCATCAGCGCCATCAACACCACCGTCAGCGCCATCATCAACACCATCAGCGCCATCATCAACACCATCAGCACCATCATCAACACCATCAGCGCCATCATCAACACCATCAGCACCATCATCAACACCATCAGCGCCATCAACACCACCATCAGCGCCATCAACACCACCATCAGCGCCATCAACACCACCATCAGCGCCATCATCAACACCATCAGCATCATCAGCGCCATCAACACCACCGTCAGCGCCATCACCAACACCATCAGCGCCATCATCAACACCATCAGCGCCATCAACACCACCATCAGCGCCATCATCAACACCATCAGCGCCATCAACACCACCGCCAGCGCCATCAGCACGGCCGGTACCATCAGCACCACCACCACCACTACCACCACCACCACCACCAGCAGGGCCGGTAACCCGGTAACAACAGCGGGGTGGTGGTGGTGGTGGTGATGTCCACGCACCTGCGTCGACCACAGGTTGAGCTGCTTGAGGGAGGGTAGCTTCACAAGAAGCTCGGCACAGGCGCTGGTCACGTTGGTGAACGCCAGGCTGAGGTTCTCCAGGTTGCCGAAGGAGCCCGAGCTGAGCAGCTTGGCCAGGTCGGCGTCCTGGCGGGGAGGGGGGTACTGGCGATGAGGACAGGGGACCCCCCCCCCCCCCCAACCCCAACGGAGCCACCAAACGCCACCGCCGCTTTGACGAACTTTTATTGTAGTGAGACCACCAGAGTGGAGTATAGAGATAGTAGTGTATAGTGTAGTGTATGGTGCAGTGTATAGTGTAGTGTATGGTGTAGCGTATAGTGTAGTGTATAGTAGTGTATAGTTTAGTGTACAGTAGTGTATAGTGTAGTGTATGGTGGTGTATAGTGTAGTGTATAGTGTAGTGTATAGTGTAGCGTATGGTGTAGCGTATGGTGTAGCGTATAGTGTAGTGTATAGTGTAGTGTATAGTGTAGTAGTGTATAGTGTAGTAGTGTATAGTGTAGTGTATAGTGTAGTAGTATATAGTGTAGTAGTGTATAGTGTAGTGTATAGTGGTGTATAGTGTAGTGTATAGTGTAGTGTATAGTAGTGTAGTGCATAGTAGTGTAGTGCATAGTAGTGTAGTGCAAAGTAGTGAGTGTATAGTAGAGTGTATAGTAGTGTAGTGTATAGTGTAGTGTATAGTGCAGTGTATAGTAGTGTAGTGTATAGTGTAGTTCATAGTAGTGTAGTGTATAGTGTAGTGTATAGTGCAGTGTATAGTAGTGTAGTGTATAGTGTAGTGCAAAGTAGTGTAGTGTATAGTGTAGTGTATAGTGCAGTGTAAAGTAGTGAGTGTATAGTGTAGTGTATAGTAGTGAGTGTATAGTGTAGTGTATAGTAGTGTAGTGTATAGTGTAGTGTATAGTAGTGTAGTATATAGTAAGTAAGACCACCCCCCACAGTAACAACCAAAACTCAGATCTACGACCGACACTTCGTCGTTTGGCGCACGTCATGCTGCAGATTCAGTGCCTGTTACTGCTGCTACTGCTGCTGCTACTACTGCTACTGTTACTGTTTGTTGCTACTGTTACTGCTACAACTGCTGCTGCTACAACTACTATTACTCCTACTACTGCTATTACTACTACTGCCACTACTGATACTACTACTGCTGCCACTACTGATACTACTACTGTTGCTGTTACTACTGCTACTACTGCTGTGGATGCTACTACTACTACTGCTGCTGATGCCACTACTGCTGCTACTACTGCTACTACTACTCCTGCTGCTACTGCTGCTACTACTGCTGCTGCTACTACTGCTACTACTGAAACTACGACTACTGCTACTACTACTACTGCCACTACTACTGTGCTGCGACTACTGCTGCTGCTACTACTACTACTACTGCTGCTACTACTACTACTGCTGCTACTAATGATGATACTACTACTACTGCTGCTACTACTGCTGCTGCTACTACTACTGCTGCTACTAATGATGATACTACTACTGCTGCTGCTACTACTGCTGCTGCTGTGACTACTGCTGCTGTTACTACTACTACTGCCACTACTACTACTGCTGCTACTACTACTACTGCCACTACTACTACTGCCACTACTACTACTGCTACTACTGCTACTACTGCTGCTGCTGTTACTACTACTACTGCCACTACTACTACTACTGCTGCTGCTACTGCTGCTGCTACTACTACTACTGCTGCTGATACTACTACTGCCACTACTACTACTGCTGCTGCTACTACTGCTGCTGCTGTTACTACTACTACTACTGCCACTACTACTGCTGCTGCTACTACTGCTGCTGCTACTACTGATACTACTACTGCTGCTGCTGCTACTACTACTACTACTGCAACTACTACTACTACTGCTGCTGCTGCTACTACTACTACTGCTACTACTGCTACTACTACTGCTGCTACTGCTACTACTGCCACTAGTACTACTGCTGCTGCTACTAGTACTGATACTACTACTGCCACAACTACTACTGCTGCCACTAATACTACTGCTGCCACTACTACGACTGCTGCCACTATTACTACTGCTGCCACTACTACTACTGCTGCTGCTACTACTACTGCTGCTGCTACTACTACTGATACTTCTACTGCCACTACTATTACTACTGCTGCTGTTACTACTACTGCTGCTGCTACTACTGCTACTACTACTGCTGCTATTGCTGCCACTACTGCTACTGCTGCTACTGCTACTACTACTGCTACTACCACTGCTACTACTACTGATACTACTACTCCCACTACTACTGTAACTACTACTGCTCCTGCTGTTACAACTGCTACTGCCACCACTACTACTGCTGCTGCCACTACTGCTACTACTGCTGCCACTACTGCTACTACTGCTACTACTACTGCTACTACTACTAATACTACTGCTACTACTGCTGCTACTACTGCTGCTACTACTGCTGGTACTACTGCTACTACTACTGCTGCTACTGCTACTACTACTGATACTACTTACTGCCACTACTACTGCTGCTACTACTGCTGCTGCTACTACTGCCTCTACTACTGCTACTACTGCTGCTGCTACTACCGCTGCTGCTGCTACCACTGCTGCTGCTACCACTACTGCTGCTACCACTGCTGCTGCTACTACTACTGCTACCACTGCTGCTGCTACCACTGCTGCTGCTACTACTACTGCTACCACTGCCGCTGCTACCACTACTACTGCTACCACTGCTGCTGCTACCACTACTACTGCTACCACTGCTGCTGCTACCACTACTGCTGCTACCACTGCTGCTACTACTACTGCTACCACTGCTGCTGCTACCACTACTACTGCTACCACTGCTGCTGCTACTACTGCTACTACTACTACTGCTGCTACTACTACTGCTGCTACTGCTACTACTGCTACTACTACTGCTGCTACTGCTACTACTGATACTACTGCCACTACTACTATGCTGCGACTAATGCTGCTGTTACTACTACTGCCACTACTGCTGCTACTACTAATGATACTACTGCCACTACTACTACTGCTGCTACTACTACTGCTGCTACTACTGCTGCTACTACCACTGCTGCTGCTACAACTACTGATACTACTACTACCACTACTACTACTGCTGCTGCTACTACTACTGATACTACTACTGCTGCCACTACTACTGCTGCTACTACTGATACTACTACTGCTGCCACTACTACTACTGCTGCTGCTACTACTAGTGATACTATTACTGCAATGATTGCTTATGTTGCAGTCGAAACGTCGTGAGAATTTTATCGATTTATATTTTTATTATTTGATTGTTTCCCTTCTACGTGGCGGTGACCTTACCGAAAGAACCAAGAATATGAATCCCCGCAGTCACGAAAGCTTCAAACGAAAACTTCACCGCAATAATTGTCAAACTGCAGTGATTGTGAAAGGCGTGGGATTGGGGCAGAGCGCGAGAGACAGAGAGAGAGAGAGATAGACAGATAGAGAGAGAGTGGCTCACCGTGGATTTTGACGGCAGTGTGAGCCGGGTAGGACCGCCCTTCTTTTGCTGTTTCACAGATGGGGCGAGAGGGGAACCGAGAAAAGGGTCACCCGCTAAATAAAAAGAAACGCACGCGTCGTGAAGGACCCGAAAAACTGCTTCAAATTCGGACGTTTTTTGACCCTCTTCTTTGGTTCTTTCGGTAAAGTCACCACCACCACCACCACCACCACGTAGAATGAGAATTAAAATAACAAATTAAGAAAATAACGCGATGAAATTCTCACGACGTTTCGGCCACAACACAAGCGGCCTTCATCAGGTGATGATAATTGCCCGGTGATGAAGGCCATCTGTGTTGTGGCCGAAACGTCGTGAGAATTTTATCGCGTTATTTTATCAATTTATTATTTTAATTCTCATTCTACGTGGTGGTGGTGGTGGTGGTGACTTTACCGAAAGAACCAAAGAAGATGAATCCTTGCAGTCACGAAAGCTTTAAATCGCAAAAAAAAATGTTGACCCTATTTTAACCGAGAGAGGGGCCCAACCGTAGCTGCACTGCACGGCTCTGTTTAGGAAGCGAACCACCGGCCCATCGCAAGTGGCAGCAGCTCAACGCGGTGGATTATCAGCGTAGGAAACGCGTGGCGATGTCCAATTGCAAATTGTGGAGGGGGACAGCGGAGGAACCGGGGACAAAAAAATCCGCGCGACCACAGGGAGATCACACAAACTCCACTCACTCACTCTAGAAGAGGGGGAGTTCACACAAACTCCACTCACTCACTCTGTAGAACAGGGGGAGATCACACAAACTCCACTCACTTTGTAGAACAGGGGGAGATCACACAAACTCCACTCACTCTGTAGAACAGGGGGAGATCACACAAACTCCACTCACTTTGTAGAACAGGGGGAGATCACACAAACTCCACTCACTCTGTAGAACAGGGGGAGATCACACAAACTCCACTCACTCTGTAGAACAGGGAGAGATCACACAAACTTCACTCACTCACTCTGTAGAACAGGGAGAGATCACACAAACTCCACTCACTCTGTAGAACAGGGGGAGATCACACAAACTCCACTCACTCTGTAGAACAGGGGGAGATCACACAAACTCCACTCACTCTGGAGAACAGGGGGAGATCACACAAACTCCACTCACTCACTCTGTAGAACAGGGGGAGATCACACAAACTCCACTCACTCACTCTGTAGAACAGGAGGAGATCACACAAACTCCACTCACTCACTCTGTAGAACAGGAGGAGATCACACAAACTTCACTCACTCACTCTGTAGAACGGAGGGAGGTCACACAAACTCCACTCACTCACTCTGTAGAACAGGGAGAGATCACACAAACTCCACTCACTCACTCTGTAGAACAGGGGGAGATCACAGAAACTCCCCTCACTCACTCTGCAGAACAGGGGGAGATCACACAAACTCCACTCACTCACTCTGTAGAACAGGGAGAGATCACAAAAACTCCACTCACTCACTCTGTAGAACAGGGGGAGATCACACAAACTCCACTCACTCACTCTGTAGAACAGGGGGAGATCACAGAAACTCCCCTCACTCACTCTGCAGAACAGGGGGAGATCACACAAACTCCACTCACTCACTCTGTAGAACAGGGAGAGATCACACAAACTCCACTCACTCACTCTGTAGAACAGGGGGAGATCACAAAAACTCCACTCACACTCACTCTGTAGAACAGGGGGAGATCACACAAACTCCACTCACTCACTCTGCAGAACAGGGGGAGATCACACAAACTTCACTCACTCACTCTGTAGAACAGCGGGAGATCACACAAACTCCACTCACTCACTCTGTAGAACAGGGGGAGATCACACAAACTCCACTCACTCTGTAGAACAGGGGGGGGGAGATCACACAAACTCCACTCACTCACTCTGCAGAACAGGGGGAGATCACACAAACTTCACTCACTCACTCTGTAGAACAGCGGGAGATCACACAAACTCCACTCACTCACTCTGTAGAACAGGGGGAGATCACACAAACTCCACTCACTCTGTAGAACAGGGGGGGGGAGATCACACAAACTCCACTCACTCACTCTGTAGAACAGGGGGAGAGATCACACAAACTCCACTCACTCTCACACACAACACTCACCCACTCACTCACTCTGTAGAACAGGGGGAGATCACAGAAACTCCCCTCACTCACTCTGCAGAACAGGGGGAGGAGATCACACAAACTCCACTCACTCACTCTGCAGAACAGGGGGAGATCACACAAACTCCACTCACTCACTCTGCAGAACAGGGGGAGATCACACAAACTCCAATCACTCTCACACACAACACACACTCACTCACTATGCAGAACAACGAGAGAGATCACACAAACTCCACTCACTCACTCTGTAGAACAGGGGGAGATCACACAAACTCCACTCACTCACTCTGTAGAACAACGAGAGAGCTCACACAAACTCCACTCACTCTCACACACAACACTCACCCACTCACTCTCTCCGCAGAACAACGAGAGAGATCACACAAACTCCACTCACTCTGCAGAACAACGAGAGAGATCACACAAACTCCACTCACTCTCACACACAACACACAACACACACTCACTCACTCTGCAGAACAACGAGAGAGATCACACAAACTCCACTCACTCACTCTGTAGAACAGGGGGAGAGATCACACAAACTCCACTCACTCACTCTGTAGAACAACGAGAGAGATCACACAAACTCCACTCACTCTCACACACAACACACAACACACACTCACTCACTCTGCAGAACAACGAGAGAGATCACACAAACTCCACTCACTCTCACACACAACACACACTCACTCACTCTGCAGAACGAGAGAGATCACACAAACTCCACTCACTCTCACACACAACACACAACACACACTCACTCACTCTGCAGAACAACGAGAGAGATCACACAAACTCCACTCACTCACTCTGTAGAACAGGGGGAGAGATCACACAAACTCCACTCACTCACTCTGTAGAACAACGAGAGAGATCACACAAACTCCACTCACTCTCACACACAACACACAACACACACTCACTCACTCTGCAGAACAACGAGAGAGATCACACAAACTCCACTCACTCTGCAGAACAACGAGAGAGATCACACACTCACTCACTCTGTAGAACAACGAGAGATCACAAACTCCACTCACTCTGTAGAACAACGAGAGAGATCACACAAACTCCACTCACTCTGCAGAACAACGAGAGAGATCACACAAACTCCACTCACTCCGCAGAACAACGAGAGAGATCACACAAACTCCACTCACTCTGTAGAACAACGAGAGATCACACACTCACTCACTCTGCAGAACAACGAGAGAGATCACACAAACTCCACTCACTCTGTAGAACAACGAGAGAGATCACACAAACTCCACTCACTCCGCAGAACAACGAGAGAGATCACACAAACTCCACTCACTCTGTAGAACAACGAGAGATCACACACTCACTCACTCTGCAGAACGAGAGAGATCACACAAACTCCACTCACTCTGTAGAACAACGAGAGAGATCACACAAACTCCACTCACTCTCACACACAACACACAACACACACTCACTCACTCTGTAGAACAACGAGAGAGATCACACAAACTCCACACACGGGAAGGCTGCCGGCGCCGTTCAAACCCGCCCGCCCGCCCGCCCGCCCGCTCGCTCGAGCGCTAAGCGGCGCACCACTACGGTGGTGGTGCGTGGTGGTGGTGCTGGGTGGTGCTGGGTGGTGCTGGGTGGTGCTGGTACTTGGGGGTTGCCTCTCACCAGCTCACGCAGCTCACGCTGCCGCTCGCACAGTTGCTCGTAGACTCGCCGTCCCTCCGAGGTGCTCTGCAGGGTGGAGACGATCTGCAGGCGCGAGTCGTCGCCCTCCATCACCGAATACTCGAGCATCAGGCACAGGATCTACGCGCAGCAAAAAGGACAGAAGGGGGGCCCGGGGGGCCCCGCCCCCGCCCCGTGTAGACTCGGCCGGCCGTTTTGAGTGGGGGGGGGGGGGGGTGGGGGGGGGGGTTGGCCAGGCCGCCTTTGTCTCCCCAGTGGTGAGGCCGAGCGGACCCAGGGCAGGCCCATGAACCCGGGTTCAGGGATCAGGGGTCAGGGATGGAACTAGCCGGGTTCCATCGCTGAGTCACCCACTCATCTCTCTCTGAGTCGACCTCTCATCTCTGAGTCGACCTCTCATCTCTCTCTCTGAGTCGACCTCTCATCTCTGAGTCGACCTCTCATCTCTGAGTCGACCTCTTATCTCTGAGTCAACCTCATCTCTGAGTCGACCTCTCATCTCTGAGTCACCCACTCATCTCTCTCTGAGTCGACCTCTCATCTCTGAGTCGACCTCTCATCTCTCTCATCTCTCTCTATCTGAGTCGACCTCTCATCTCTGAGTCGACCTCTCATCTGAGTCACCCACTCATCTCTCTCTGAGTCGACCTCTCATCTCTGAGTCGACCTCTCATCTCTCTCTCTGAGTCGACCTCTCATCTCTGAGTCGACCTCTCATCTCTGAGTCGACCTCTCATCTCTGAGTCGACCTCTTATCTCTGAGTCAACCTCTCATCTCTGAGTCGACCTCTCATCTCTGAGTCGACCTCTCATCTCTGAGTCACCCACTCATCTCTCTCTGAGTCGACCTCTCATCTCTGAGTCGACCTCTCATCTCTCTCATCTCTCTCTATCTCTGAGTCGACCTCTCATCTCTGAGTCGACCTCTCATCTGAGTCACCCACTCATCTCTCTCTGAGTCGACCTCTCATCTCTGAGTCGACCTCTCATCTCTCTCTGAGTCGACCTCTCATCTCTGAGTCGACCTCTCATCTCTCTCTCTGAGTCGACCTCTCATCTCTGAGTCGACCTCTCATCTCTGAGTCGACCTCTCATCTCTGAGTCGACCTCTCATCTCTGAGTCGATCTCTCATCTCTGAGTCACCCACTCATCTCTCTCTGAGTCGACCTCTCATCTCTGAGTCGACCTCTCATCTCTCTCATCTCTCTCTATCTGAGTCGACCTCTCATCTCTGAGTCACCCACTCATCTCTCTCTGAGTCGACCTCTCATCTCTGAGTCGACCTCTCATCTCTCTCATCTCTCTCTATCTCTGAGTCGACCTCTCATCTCTGAGTCGACCTCTCATCTGAGTCACCCACTCATCTCTCTCTGAGTCGACCTCTCATCTCTGAGTCGACCTCTCATCTCTGAGTCGACCTCTCATCTCTCTCATCTCTATCTCAGAGTCGACCTCCCATCTCTATCTCAGAGTCGACCTCCCATCTCTATCTCAGAGTCGACCTCCCATCTCTATCTCAGAGTCGACCTCTCATCTCCCCATCTCTCTCCGTGGCGGTGGTGGCGGTAGTGGTGGTGGAGGTGGTGGCGGTGGTGGTGGCGGTAGTGGTGGAGGTGGTGGAGGTGGTGGTGGTGGTGGCGGTGGTGGCGGCGGTGGTGGCAGTGGTGGCAGTGGCGGTGGTGGCAGTGGCGGTGGTGGTGGCAGTGGTGATGGTGGTGGCAGTGGTGATGGTGGTGGTGGTGGCAGTGGTGGTGGTGGCAGTGGTGATGGTGGTGGCAGTGGTGATGGTGGTGGTGGTGGCAGTGGTGGTGGCGGTGGTGGCGGCGGTGACGGCGGAGGCGGTGGTGGCGGCGGCGGCGGCGGCACGACAGTTCACCTCGACCATGGTCTGGTTGCCCCGCAGTGCCAGCAGCATGCAGGGACCCAGCTTGTTCTCCGCCAGCGACACGAGGAACTTCCTCGTCTTGTAGCACGACCCCATGAGGATCCGTACCTGCGGGGCCACCACGCAGAGGCAAGGAGATCCCTCGCGCACCCCCCCCTCCCTCACCGCGTGGCCTCGACAGGCTGCCCGGGGCGAGCGCCGGTTAGCTGGCCGGCGCTCGGCGAGGGCGAGTGGCCGGCGCCGCACCCCGGCGGCGAGATGCTTTCACCGCGCCGCTGCTACCGCCGAAGACAGAGGTAACCCCGCACAGCCTCGACAAGACTGCAGGGGGTCATAGTGCCGTGAGCGAGCAGGCGCTAGGTGAAGGCCGGTAACGGCACGCGAGGTGGTGGGGTGGCCAGCAGCCACGCCATGACGATGTTTTGCCGACCACACCGCACCGGGTGCGCATTTGAGGCCGAGTCGAGCTAGGGGAGGCCCGGGACCGGTTCGGGTAATCGTCACTGGGTGTTGGCCGCGAGCGGGAATCGAACCCGGGTGTCGCCGGGGTTCGTAGCGCTAACCGCTGCCCGCACCACACTCCACCACACACACACACACACCACACACACACCGCACACACCACCACACACCGTACACACCACACACACACACCACACACACACACACCGCACACACCACACACACACACCACACACACACACCGCACACTCCACCACACACCGCACACTCCACCACACACCGCACACACACACACACCACCACGTGCACACACCACACACACACACCACCACACACACCACACACACACCACACACACACACACACCACACACACACCACCACACACACACACACACACCACCACACACACCACACACACACCACACACACACACACCACACACACACTCCACCACACACACACACACCACCACACACCACACGCACACACACCACACACACACCACACACACACACACACCACACACACCACACACACACACACACACCACACACACACACACCACCACACACACACACGACCACCACATTACATGCACGTGTTCCGTGCAGCGACGACGGCTCAAAGTGCTCCGCCTTCAACAACCGTCAGGAGCGTGCAGCAGCGAACGAGCGGAGGAGTAAGTCGGTGAATGTGGAGAGACGGAGCGCGGCGGCGGTGGCGGCGGTGGCAGTGGCGGTGGTGGTGGTGGCGGCGGTGGCGGTGGCGGCGGTGGCGGTGGTGGCGGTGGTGGTGGCGGTGGTAGTGGTGATGACGGTGGTGGCGGTGACGATGGTGGTCATGGTGGTGGCGACAGTGGTGGCGGTGGTGCTGGTAGCGGTGGCGGCAATGGTGGTGGCGGTGGTGCTGGTAGCAGTGGTGGCGATGGTGGCGATGGTGGCGGCGGTGGTGCTGGTAGCGGTGGTGGCGATGGCGATCTGTGGTAGCGGTGGTGGCGATGGTGGTGGCGGTGGTGCTGGTAGCGGTGGTGGCGATGGTGGCGATGGTGGCGGCGGTGGTGCTGGTAGCGGTGGTGGCGATGGCGATCTGTGGTAGTGGTGGTGGCGATGGTGGTGGCGGTGGTGCTGGTAGCGGTGGTGGCGATGGCGGTGGTGCTGGTAGCGGTGGTAGTGGTGGCGGCGACGGTGGTGGTGCTGGTAGCGGTGGTGGCGATGGCGGCGGTGGTGGTGGTGGTGGTGTTGGTACTGGTGGTGGCGGCGACGGTGGTGGCGGTGGTGCTGGTAGCGGTGGTAGCGGTGGTGGCGATGGTGGCGATGGTGGTGGCGGTGGTGCTGGTAGCGGTGGCGTGTGGCGGTGGTGGCGGTGGTGCTGGTAGCGGTGGTGGCGTGTGGCGGTGGTGGCGGTGGTGCTGGTAGCGGTGGCGGCGATGGCGGCGGTGTCGTTCAGGACTGGAGCTGTATCTCAGCCCTGGGCCGTGCTCTTCCCTTCCTGGGTGGCTGGCGGCCACCAGGTGGGTGCCGCGTGTCACCGGTGTCGCCCTGGGCCGTACCATCGACGCGAAGAGCTCCCCGTCGTCGTCGCACGCCACCCCACCGGGGCTGTAGAGTTGGAACCACCCGTCCTTGCCGGCCCTCACGCTGAGCAGGCACGAGTGGACCTGGCACGGGGCAAGCCGTGTCACGTGTGCGTGTGTGTCACGTGCGCGTGTGTCATGCACAGCAGACCGACAATACACACACAGGCGCACAACAGGCAAAGATCCCCCCCCCCCCGTGCAGCCTGTAACGGACTGTTGGGGCAAGTGCCACCCACCCCCTCGTGCGCTTGTGGCACGCGACGGGGGTGGGTGGCCAGGACCGCGCCCCGGCCGCCTTTGTCTCCCCCAGTGGCGATGTTTACCACACACCGCACCAGGTTACTCATTTGAGGCCGAGTCGATCTAGGAGGGGGGGCCCAGGACCGGTTAAGATAGTCGTCACCGGTGAGCGGGAATCGAACCTGGTTCGCCGGGTTTGTAGCGCAGCGTAGCGCTAACCGCTACACTACCGCTCCCCACACACACAGACACACACACACAGCATAGATACACACACAGCATAGACACACACACAGCCTACAACACACACATGTCACACAACATGTAGCACACACAGACACACACAGCATAGACACACACACAGCCTACAACACACATATGTCACACAACATGTAGCACACACAGAGAATACACGCACACACACAGCACATGGACACACACACACAGCATAGACACAGCCCACACACACAACCCACACACAGCCCACACACACAACCCACACACAGCCCACACACACACAAACCCCACACACACCCCCCACACACACCCACACACACACACACACCCCCTACACCCACCCCACACACACCCACACCACACCCCCCCAACACACCCACCACACACCCACCCCCCACACACACCACACACACACCACACCACACACACACACCACACACACACCACACACACACACACCACACACACACCCCCCACACACACCACACACACACCCCACACACACCCACACCCCCCACACACACACCACACACACGCCCCACACACACCCCCAACACACCACACCACACACACACAACACCCACACAACCCCCAACCCACCACACACACACCCACACACCACCCACACACCACACACACACCCCCCACACACACCACACACACACACCACACACACACCACACACACACACCACACACACACCCCACACACACACACACCCCCCACACACACCCCCTACACACACACCACACACACACACCCCACACACACCCCACACACACACACCCCACCCCACACACCCCACACACACACACACCACACCACCCCCCACACACACACACCCCACACACACACACACCCCCCTACACACACACACCCCACCACACACACCCCCCTACACACACACACCCCACCACACACACCCCCACACACACCCCCCACACACACACACCACACACCCCCTACACACACACACCACACACACCCCACACACACACACCCCCCACACACACACACACACCCCCTACACACACACACACACCCCCCCCCCCCCACACACACACACCCCCCACACACACCACCACACACACCACACCTACACACACACACCCCACACACACCCCCCACACACACACACACCCCCTACACACACACACACACCCCACACACACACCCCCTACACACACACACCCCCCTACACACACACACCCCCCACACACCCCCCACACACACCCCCTACACACACACACCACACACACCCCACACACACACCCCCACACCACACACACCACACCACACACCCACACACACACACACACCACACATCCCCTACACACACACCCCCTACACACACCACACACACACACCCCCTACACACACACCCCACACACCACACACACACACCCCCTACACACACACACACACCCCCTACACACACACACACACACCCTACACACCCCACACACACACACACACACCACACACCCCACACACACACCCCCCACACACACACACACACCCCTACACACACACACACCCCCTACACACACACACACACACCCCCCACACACACACAAACCCCACACACACCCCCCTACACACACACCACACACACCCCACACACACACCCCACACACACACCCCCTACACACACACACCACACACACCCCCCACACACCCACACACCCCCTACACACACACACACACACACCCCCTACACACACACCACACATACCCCCTACACACACACACACACCCTACACACACACACCCCCCACACACACACACACACCCTACACACATACACCCCACCACACACCCCCTACACACACCCCACACACACACACACACACACCCCACACACACCCCCCCCACACACACACACACCACACACCCCCTACACACACCCCCCACACACACACACCACACACCCCCTACACACACACACACCACACACACACCACACACACACACCCCACACACAACCACACCCCACCCACACACACACCCCACACACACACACCCCACACACACCCCCTACACACACACACACACACCCCTACACACACACACCCCCTACACACACCCCACACACACCACACACCCCCTACACACACACACCACACCACACCCCACACACACACACCCCCTACACACACACCCCACACACACACACACCCCCTACACACACACACCACACACACCCCCTACACACACACACCACACACACCCCCTACACACACACACCACACACACCCCACACACACACACCACACACCCCCCCCACACACACCCCCCACACACACACACACCACACACACCCCCTACACACACACACCACACACACCCCACACACACCCCACACACACACCACACACACACACACCCCCCACACACACACCCCACACACCACACACACACCCCCTACACACACACACCACACACACCCCCTACACACACACACACCCCCTACACACACCCCACACACACACACACACACCACACACACACCACACACACCCCCCACACACACCCCCCACACACACACCACACACCCCTACACACACACACCACACACACCCCACACACACACCACACACCCCCTACACACACACACCACACACACACCACACACACACACACACCCCCTACACACACCCCACACACACACACCCCCTACACACACACACCACACACACACACACACACCCCCCACACACACACACACCACACACACACCCCCCACACACACACCCCACACACACTACACACACACACACACACCCCCCACACACACACACACACACCACACACACACACCCCTTACACACACACACACACACCCCCTACACACACACACCCCCCACACACCACACACACCCCACACACACACCCCCACACACACACACACCACACACACACCCCCCACACACACCCCACACACACACAGCCCACCCACACACACACACACACCCCCTACACACACACACACACCACACACACCCCACACACACACCCCCCACACACACGCGGGCTGAGTGCTCACCTCCTGACGTGGGTCTCCTGCGAACTCCCCAATGACGTGCTTGAAGGCCCTGCAGGTGGTGGGACGAGCAGCAGGGGAGGTGGTGAGGGTGGTGAGGGTGGGTGGTGAGGGTGGCGAGGGTGGTGAGGGTGGCGAGGGTGGTGAGGGTGAGGGTGGTGAGGATGGCAAGGATGAGGGTGGTGAGGGTGGTGGGGGTGGTGAGGGTGGTGAGGGTGAGGGTGGTGAGGATGGCAAGGATGAGGGTGGTGAGGGTGGTGGGGGTGGTGAGGGTGGTGAGGGTGGTGAGGGTGGCGAGGGTGGTGAGGGTGAGGGTGGTGAGGATGGCAAGGATGAGGGTGGTGAGGGTGGTGGGGGTGGTGAGGGTGGTGAGGGTGGTGAGGGTGGCGAGGATGGCGAGGGTGGTGAGGGTGGCGAGGGTGGTGAGGGTGGCGAGGGTGGTGAGGGTGGCGAGGGTGGTGGGACGAGCAGCAGGGGAGGTGGTGAGGGTGGGTGAGGGTGGTGAGGGTGGCGAGGGTGGCGAGGGTGGTGAGGGTGGTGAGGGTGGTGAGGATGGTGAGGGTGGTGAGGGTGGTGAGGGTGGCGAGGATGAGGGTGGTGAGGGTGGTGAGGGTGGTGAGGGTGGCGAGGATGGCGAGGGTGGTGAGGGTGGCGAGGGGTGGTGAGGGTGGCGAGGGTGGTGAGGGTGGCGAGGGTGGTGGGACGAGCAGCAGGGGAGGTGGTGAGGGTGGGTGAGGGTGGTGAGGGTGGCGAGGGTGGCGAGGGTGGTGAGGGTGGTGAGGGTGGTGAGGATGGTGAGGGTGGTGAGGGTGGTGAGGGTGGCGAGGATGAGGGTGGTGAGGGTGGCGAGGGTGGTGAGGGTGGCGAGGGTGGTGGGACGAGCAGCAGGGGAGGTGGTGAGGGTGGGTGAGGGTGGTGAGGGTGGCGAGGGTGGCGAGGGTGGTGAGGGTGGTGAGGGTGGTGAGGGTGGCGAGGGTGGTGAGGGTGGTGAGGGTGGCGAGGATGAGGGTGGTGAGGGTGGCGAGGGTGGTGAGGGTGGCGAGGGTGGTGGGACGAGCAGCAGGGGAGGTGGTGAGGGTGGTGAGGGTGGCGAGGGTGGCGAGGGTGGTGAGGGTGGTGAGAATGGTGAGGGTGGTGAGGGTGGTGAGGGTGGTGAGGGTGGCGAGGGTGGTGAGGGTGGTGGGACGAGCAGCAGGGGAGGTGGTGAGGGTGGTGAGGGTGGTGAGGGTGGCGAGGGTGGCGAGGGTGGCGAGGATGGTGAGGATGGTGAGGGTGGTGAGGGTGGTGAGGGTGGCGAGGGTGAGGGTGGTGAGGGTGGTGAGGATGGTGAGGGTGGTGAGGGTGGCGAGGGTGGTGAGGGTGGCGGGGGTGGTGAGGGTGGTGAGGGTGGCGAGGATGAGGGTGGTGAGGGTGGCGGGGGTGGTGAGGGTGGTGAGGGTGGTGGGGGTGGTGAGGGTGGTGAGAATGGCGAGGGTGGCGAGGGTGGTGAGGGTGGCGAGGGTGGCGAGGGTGGCGAGGGTGGCGAGGGTGGTGAGGATGGCGAGAATGGCGAGGGTGGCGAGGGTGGTGAGGGTGGTGAGGATGGCGAGGGTGGCGAGGGTGGTGAGGGTGGTGAGGGTGGTGAGGGTGGCGAGGGTGGTGACGGTGGTGAGGGTGGTGAGGGTGGTGAGGATGGCGAGGATGGTGAGGGTGGTGAGAATGGTGAGGGTGGTGAGAATGGTGAGGGTGGCGAGGGTGGCGAGGGTGGCGAGGGTGGTGACGGTGGTGAGGGTGGTGAGGGTGGTGAGGATGGCGAGGGTGGTGAGAATGTTGAGAATGGTGAGGGTGAGCCTATACACCGGAAACAATTATTTTTTTTTACCAGGTAAGGCCCACAGAGCTTTGTGTAAAACTCGTTTGTTTTTTTTTAAACCCGAGTCGACCTAGGGGAGGCCCAGACAATCGTCGCCGGTGTCTGCCGGTGGCCGCGAGCGGGGATCAAACATCGGAGCCCGGCGGAGGGCTCTCGCCCACTGCACCGCGATTAACAATCATCGCTCATCCACGCACAGAGACAAAGGTCCGCCCGGGCAGCCTTCGGTGGACACGTTGGGGTGAGGGCAAGTGCTGCGAAGGCCGCCAGTCCACACGAGGGGGTGGGTGGCCAGCGCCACGACCGGCAGCCTTCGTCTCCACAGTGGCGACGTTTACACATCGCACCGGGTACTCGTTTGAGGCCGAGTCGACCTAGGGGAGGGCCCAGGACCGGTTCAGGTAGTCGTCAGCGACGGTGTTGGCCGTGAGCGGGAATCGAACGCCGGGGATTGTAGAGCGACGCGCTAACCACTCCCCAATGATTCACACACACACACACACGTACACACGTACACACGTACACACGCACTCTCACACTCTCACACACACACACACGTATGCTCACACTCACACACACGTACACACACACACTCTCACACACACAGACACGTACACACACACACTCTCACACACACGCTCACACTCTCACTCACACACGCTCACACTCTCACACACACACACACACGTGCACACACACTCTCACACACACGCTCACACTCTCACTCACACACGCTCACACTCTCACACACACACACACACGTGCACACACACTCTCACACACACGCTCACACTCTCACTCACACACGCTCACACTCTCACACACACATACAAAGATCCCCCATATAGCCTGTAACAGACTGTAGGGGCAAGTGCTGTTAGCGAGCACCTTACACAGACACGTACACACACACAAAGAAGATCCCCCGTATAGCCTTAACAGACTGTAGGGGCAAGTGCTGTTAGCGAGCACCTATGAAGGCCGGAACGGTACACGAGGGGGTGGGTGGCCAGCACCACGCCCGACCGCCTTTGTCTCCCTAGTGGCAATGTTTACACACCGCACCAGGTACTCATTTGAGGCTGAGTCGACCTAGGGGAGGCCCGGGACCGGTTCAGATAATCGTCACTGGTGTTGGCCGTGAGCGAGAATCGAACCCGTGTCGCCGGGTTCATAGCGCAGCGCGCTAACCGCTACACACACACACACACACTCTCACACACACACACGTACACACACACTCTCACACACACACACGCACACACACACTCTCACACACGCACACATACGCTCACACTCTCACTCACTCACACACGCTCACACTCTCACTCACACACGCTCACACTCTCACTCACTCACACACGCTCACACTCTCACTCACTCACACACACTCTCACTCACACACGCTCACACGCACACACACGCTCACACTCCCACTCACACACTCTCACACACGCTCACACTCCCACTCACATGTACACACACACTCTCACACACACACGCTCACACTCTCACTCACACACGCTCACACTCTCACACACACGCTCACACTCTCACTCACACACTCTCACTCACACGTACACACACACAGGGTCGCTACTGACACGGAGTGAGCGCCTTGTTCTCTAGTTTGTTAGGCGAGCTGCGAGGTACTCACTTGGTGAACTGTTCGTGCGCCAAGGCCCTGCAAAGCAAATGGTAGGAGGCGAGTCTTAGGATCAACATCATCGCTACCATGATCATCACCACTGTCGCCACCATCGCCGTCACCACCGTCATTCATTGTCGTCACCACTGTCATCACTATCATCGTCACCATCATCGTCATCGTCAACATCATCATCACCATCATCGCCATCGTCGTCGTCAACATCATCGTCACCATCATCGTCGTCGTTAACGTCATCGTCACCATCATCGTCATCGTCAACATCATCATCACCATCATCGCCATCATCGTCGTCAACATCATTGTCACCATCGTCATCATCACCATCATCGTCATCATCAATATCACCATCATCACCATCGTCATTGTCATCACCATCGTCATCATCGTCATCGTCATCATCATCACCGTCATCATCGTCATCATCAATATCACCATCGTCACCATCGTCATCATCATCACCGCCACCGATGGTGTTAACGAGCGCCACCGCCACCACCCTCTCCCTCGACTACCGCGCTGAAAATAACCCAAACAGCAACTACCACCGCAACCACCACAACCACCGTAACCACGACAACCACCGCAAACACCACCACCATCACCGTCACCGCCACCACCACCGCGACAACCACCACCACCACCGTGACAACCACCACCGCGACCACCACCACCACGACCACCACCACAACCACCACCACGACCGTGACCACCACCACCACCACCGCGACCACCACCACCGCCACCACCACCGCCGCCGCCACCACCACCACCACCACCACGACCGTGACCACCACCACCACCACCGCGACCACCACCACCACCACCCCAGGTGAGGGAGAACTCACTCTGTGGGGAAGGGGATGGGCTGCAGCAGACTGGCTAGGGCCGGCCTCCAGTCGTCGTAGGAAGATCTGGGGGGCAAGGATAGAGAGGGGGGGGGGGAGATCGACAGAGTCATGGAAAGCCGGCCCCTGCAACGACGTACAGAGAGCCGTAGACTCATCACACAGCAGAGACCCATAGACTCATCACACAGCAGAGAGCCATAGACTCATCACACAGCAGAGAGCCATAGACTCATCACACAGCAGAGACCCATAGACTCATCACACAGCAGAGACCCATAGACTCATCACACAGCAGAGACCCATAGACTCATCACACAGCAGAGACCCATAGACTCATCACACAGCAGAGAGCCGTAGACTCATCACACAGCAGAGACCCATAGATTCATCACACAGAGCCGTAGACTCATCACACAGCAGAGACCCATAGACTCATCACACACAGAGACCCATAGACTCATCACACAGCAGAGAGCCATAGACTCATCACACAGCAGAGACCCATAGACTCATCACACAGCAGAGACCCATAGACTCATCACACAGCAGAGACCCATAGACTCATCACACACAGAGACCCATAGACTCATTACACAGCAGAGACCCACAGACTCATCACACAGCAGAGACCCATAGACTCATTACACAGCAGAGACCCATAGACTCATCACACAGCAGAGAGCCATAGACTCATCACAGCAGAGAGCCATAGACTCATCACACAGCAGAGACCCAGAGACTCACCACACAGAGGCCCATAGATTCACCACAAAGAGATCCATAGACTCACCACACAGAGACCCATAGATTCACCACAAAGACATCCATAGACTCACCACACAGAGACCCATAGACTCATCACAAAGAGATCCATAGACTCACCACACAGAGATCCATAGACTCACCACACAGAGACCCATAGATTCACCACAAAGAGATCCATAGACTCACCACACAGAGACCCATAGACTCATCACAAAGAGATCCATAGACTCACCACACAGAGATCCATAGACTCATCACACAGAGACCCATAGATTCACCACACAGAGATCCAGAGTTTGTTTACCTTCCCCCACACCTCCAATTAGCACGGTTGGCTACGTACAACGCACCGGTGAGATTGGACTTGTGTGCTTCTATGTGACCGGCTGAGAGGCTGAGAGGCCGAGAGACCGGGATAAGGGAGTCTCATTCACAAGGGTGGGTGGGTGAGTGAGCGAGATGGTGGGTGGGTGAATGAGTGAGTGAGATGGTGGGTGAGTGAGATGGTGGGTGAGTGAGTCAATGAGTGAGTGGGTGAGTGAGATGGTGGGTGAGTGAGTGAATGAGTGAGATGGTGGGTGAGTGAGATGGTGGGTGAGTGAGATGGTGGTTGAGTGAGATGGTGGGTGAGTCAATGAGTGAGTGGGTGAGTGAGATGGTGGGTGAGAGAGTGAATGTGTGAGTGGGTGAGTGAGATGGTGGGTGAGTGAGTCGATGAGTGAATGAGTGAGATGGTGGGTGAGTGAGTGAGTTAGATGGTGGGTGACTGAGATGGTGGGTGAGTGAGTGAGATGGTGGGTGAGAGAGATGGTGGGTGAGTGAGTCGATGAGTGAGTGAGTGAGATGGTGGGTGAGTGAGTGAGTGAGATGGTGGGTGAGTGAGTGAGATGGTGGGTGAGAGAGATGGTGGGTGAGTGAGTCGATGAGTGAGTGAGTGAGATGGTGGGTGAGTGAGTGAGTGAGATGGTGGGTGAGTGAGTGAGATGGTGAGTGAGTGAGATGGTGGGTGAGTGAGTGGGTGAGATGGTGGGCGAGTGAAATGGTGGGTGAGTGAGTGAATGTGTAAGTGGGTGAGTGAGATGGTGGGTGAGGGAGTCGATGAGTGAATGAGTGAGATGGTGGGTGAGTGAGTCGATGAGTGAGTGAGTGAGATGGTGGGTGAGTGAGTGAGTGAGATGGTGGGTGAGTGAGATGGTGGGTGAGTGAGTGAGTGAGATGGTAGGTGAGTGAGATAGTGGGTGAGTGAGTGAATGTGTAAGTGGGTGAGTGAGTCGATGAGTGAATGAGTGAGTGAGATGGTGGGTGAGTGAGTCTATGAGTGAGTGAGATGGTGGGTGAGTGAGATGGTGGGTGAGTGGGTGAGAGAGATGGTGGGTGAGTGAGTCGATGAGTGAGCGAGTGAGGGAGATGGTGGTTGAGTGAGTGAATGTGTGAGCGGGTGAGTTATATAGCGGGTGAGGTGGTGCGTGGTTGAGTCAATGAGTGAGCAGGTGAGTGAGATGGTGCATGGGTGAACGAGTGAGCGGGTGAGTGAGATGGTGGGTGAGTGAGACAATAGTGAACGGGTGAGTTCAGGTGGTGGGTGGGTGAGTCAATGAGTGAGTGGGTGAGATGGTGGGTGAGTGAGATGGTGAGACAATAGTGAAAGGGCGAGTTCAGGTGGTGGGTGGGTGAGTCAATGAGTGAGTGGGTGAGATGGTGGGTGAGTGAGTGAGTGAATCTGTGAGCGGGTCAGTGAGATTGTGGATGACCGAATCGATGAGTGAGATGGTGGATGGGTGAGTGAGTCAATGAGTGAGCGGGTGAGTGAGATAGTGGGTGGGTGAATGAGTGGAGGGGTGACATGGTGGGTGGGTTTTTGAGTGGTGGGTAAATGAGTGGAGATGGTGGGTGAGTGGGTGGGTGAGTGGGTGAGTGGGTGAGTGGGTGGGCGAGTGAGTGGGTGAGTGGGTGGGTGTGTGAGTGGGTGAGTGCGTGGATAAGTGGGTGAGTAAGCGGGCGAGTGAGCGGTTGAGTGGGTGAGTGGATGAGTGGTTAAGTGAGTGAGTGGGCGAGTGAGTGGGTGGGTGGGTAAGTGGGTGAGTGAGCGGTTGAGTGAGCGGTTGAGTGGGCGAGTGAGTGGATGAGTGGTTAAGTGAGTGAGTGGGCGAGTGAGTGGGTGGGTGGGTAAGTGGGTGAGTGAGCGGGCGAGGTGAGCGGTTGAGTGGGCGAGTGAGTGGATGAGTGGTTAAGTGAGTGAGTGGGCGAGTGAGTGGGTGGGTGGGTAAGTGGGTGAGTGAGCGGGCGAGTGAGCGGTTGAGTGGGTGAGTGAGTGGATGAGTGGTTAAGTGAGTGAGTGGGCGAGTGAGTGGGTGGGTGGGTAAGTGGGTGAGTGAGCGGTTGAGTGAGCGGTTGAGTGGGCGAGTGAGTGAATGAGTGGTTAAGTGAGTGAGTGGGCGAGTGAGTGGGTGCGTGGGTAAGTGGGTGAGTGAGCGGGCGAGTGAGCGGTTGAGTGGGTGAGTGAGTGGATGAGTGGTTAAGTGAGTGAGTGGGCGAGTGAGTGGGTGGGTGGGTAAGTGGGTGAGTGAGCGGTTGAGTGAGCGGTTGAGTGGGCGAGTGAGTGGATGAGTGGTTAAGTGAGTGAGTGGGCGAGTGAGTGGGTGGGTGGGTAAGTGGGTGAGTGAGCGGGCGAGTGAGCGGTTGAGTGGGTGAGTGAGTGGATGAGTGGTTAAGTGAGTGAGTGGGCGAGTGAGTGGGTGGGTGGGTAAGTGGGTGAGTGAGCGGTTGAGTGAGCGGTTGAGTGGGCGAGTGAGTGGATGAGTGGTTGAGTGAGTGAGTGGGCGAGTGAGTGGGTGGGTGGGTAAGTGGGTGAGTGAGCGGGCGAGTGAGCGGTTGAGTGGGTGAGTGAGTGGACGAGTGGTTAAGTGAGTGAGCGGCCGAGCGAGTAGGTGAGCGAGCGAGTGGGCGAGTTCGAGTTGATTCCGCGTGACCGGCTGGGGAACTCGAGGTGCGAGTCCGCGAGCGATCGAGCGATCGAGCGATCGATCGAGCGATCGAGCGATCGAGCGAACACTCCGGCGGGCGCTCACAGCGTCTTGAGGATGTCCACGTAGCAGGCGAGCACGCCCTCCGCCTTGGCCCCCAGCTCGACGCGCGGCGGCCGGCAGCACGGCGTCACCAGCAGGCAGTCGATGATGCTGGGCTCCCCGCCGCCGCCGCCGCCGCCGCCGCCGAAGCCGCCGTCGCCGAAGCCGTCGCCGAAGCCGTCGCCGAAGCCCATCGGCGAACTCTCCCAACCGGTGTAGGCGCCGTAGCCGTCGCCGCCGCCGGTGCCGTCGTCGCCGCTGCTGCCGCTGCTGCTGCTGCTGCTGCTGCCGTCGTCGCCGCCGTCGCCGCCGGCCGCCTCGCCGGCACGCGCCAAGTTGCAGAGCTTCTCGGCGGCGCCGTCGGCCGGGCCGCAGCAGCCGGTGAAGAGGAGGAGGGGCGGAGGAGCCGGCGGGGCTGGGGGCGGTGGTGGAGGGGCCCCCGTGAGCAGGCGGTGAGCCAGCGCCTGCTGCTGCTGCTGCTGCTGCTGCTGGCAGCCGTTGCGGATTTCCCTGAGGCTGGGGGAGTTGTCGCAGCTGCGGTGGTTGGCGGCGGTGATGGCGTCCGAGATGGCGGTGGTGGTGGTGGTGGTGGCAGTGGCGGTGATGGTGGTGGTGGCGGTGGTGATGGTGGCGGTGGTGATGGTGGTGGTGGCGGTGGTGATGGTGGCGGTGGTGATGGTGGCGGTGATGGTGGCAGTGGTGATGGTGGCAGTGGTGATGGTGGTGATGGTGGCAGTGGTGATGGTGGTGATGATCGCGGTGGTGGCGGTGATGGTGGTGGCAGTGATGGTGGCGGTGGTGATGGTGGCAGTGGTAACGGTGGCAGTGGTGATGGTGGTGATGGTGGCGGTGATGGTGATGGTGGTGATGGTGGTGATGGTGATGGTGGCGGTGGTAACGGTGGCAGTGGTGATGGTGGCGGTGGTGGTGATGGTCGTTGACGGTGGGGGTAACGTGCGAGGGAGAAAGAGTGCAGCGATACACAGGTGCGTTAAGTACACGCACAGGCACGCAAGTACAAACACAAAGATCCCCCGTGTAGCCTGGACAGACTGTTGGGGCAAGTGCTGTTAGCGAGCAGCTACCTAAGAAGGCCGACACCGGAGCAACGAGGGGGTGGGTGGCCAACGCCACGCCCGGCCGCCTTTGTCTCCCCAGTGCTGATGTTTTACACACATCGCACCGAGGTGCTCATGCGAGGCGGTTCAGATAAACGTCACCGGTGTTGGCCGTGAGCGGGAATCGAACTCAGGTCGCCGGGCTCGTAGGGCAACGCGCTAACCGCTACCACCGCCACAACCACCACAATCACCCACACACCCGCTCGGACACCTCACCCACTCGCGCACACACTCACTCACTCACCAACACACTCACAGACCCACCCACATACTCACACACCCACCCACTCACCCACTCACTCACCCACTCACCCACCCACTCACTCACCAACACACTCACAGACCCACCCACATACTCACCCACCCACCCACTCACCCATTCACACACTCACCCACTCACCCACACACTCACTCACACCCACCCACTCTCAAACACACTCACAGGCCCACCCACTCACTCACCCACCCATTCACCCACTCACCCATCCACACACTCACCCATCCACACACTCACCCACCCACTCACACACACACCCACTCACACACCCACTCACTCTCAAACACACTCACAGACCCACCCACTCACTCACCCATCCACACACTCACCCATCCACACACTCACCCATCCACACACTCACCCACTCACCCACACACCCACTCACACACCCACTCACTCACTCACTCTCAAACACACTCACAGACCCACCCACCCACTCACTCACACACCCACACACTCACCCATCCACACACTCACCCAGTCACCCACCCACTCACTCACACACCCACTCACCCACTCAAACACAAACACCCACTCATCCACTCTCGCACTCGCCCACACACTCACACACTGAGAATCGACATCACGTGTTCAGGGCATTTGTTCCACCGCTATGAACGTCCACGCTGCTATAATTGATTTGTGATGGCCCAGGCCGTGTGTCTATCACAAATGATAGCGGCTCAACGGGGTGGCCGGGGAGGGACGATCAACATCAGTGGCTCCCTTTTTTTTCGTAAACAATTTTTTATTTCACCAGGTAAGTACCCCCCCCCCCCCCGCCCCCCGCTGAGCTATGCAGCTCAAGGAAGTTGGGCTTAACACGTGGACGTTCACAGCGTGATGTCTGAACGCGCCATGTCGATCCTAAATGTGTGGGGGCGGGGGGGGGGGGGGGAAACGGAGGAGCCGGAGAAAAATCCACGGGACCGAGGGGACGTAGACACGCAGACTCCAAATATACAGCAGCAGGGTCAGGATCGAACCCACGACCTCCTGTACACCAGGCGAGGTAGTCAACATCTCCTAGCCACACGCAAACTCCAAATATACAGCAGCAGGGTCGGGATCGAACCCACGACCTCCTGTATGCAAGGAGAGGTAGTCAACATCTCCTAGCCACACGCAAACTCAAAATATACAGCAGCAGGGTCGGGATCGAACCCACGACCTCCTGTATACCTGGCGAGGTAGTCAACATCTCATAGCCACACGCAAACTCCAAATATACAGTAGGCGCTGTCAGGGTCGGGATCGAACCCACGACCTCCTGTACACCAGGCGAGGTAGTTAACATCTCATAGCCACACGCAAACTCCAAATATACAGCAGCAGGGTCGGAATCGAACCCACGACCTCCTGTATACCACGCGAGGTAGTTAACATCTCCTAGCCACACGCAGACTCAAAATATACAGCAGCAGGGTCGGGATCGAACCCACGACCTCCTGTATACCAGGCGAGGTAGTTAACATCTCCTAGCCACACGCAGACTCAAAATATACAGTAGGCGCTGTCAGGGTCGGGATCGAACCCACGAGCTGCTGTAGACCAGGCGAGGTAGTCAACATCTCCTAGCCACACGCAAACTCCAAATATACAGCGAGCGTGAGGGTAGGGATCGAACCCACGACCTCCTGTACACCAGGCGAGGTAGTCTTGAGCCCGGCGTGACCTTCACCAAACCTCAATTGACGACATGGACTCACACAGAGACCCATGGACTCACACAGAGAACCATGGACTCACACAGAGACCCATAGATTCACAGAGACCCATAGACTCATACAGAGACCCATAGACTCACACAGCAGAGACCCATAGACTCACACAGCACAGACCCATGAACTCACACAGAGACCCACAAACTCACACAGCAGAGACCCATAGACTCACACAGCAGAGACCCATAGACTCACACAGCAGAGACCCATAGACTCACACAGAGACCCATGGACTTATACAGAGATCCATAGACTCACACAGAGACCCATGGACTCACACAGAGAACCATGGACTCACACAGAAACCCATAGACTCAGAGACCCATTGACTCACACAGCAGAGACCCATGGACTCACACAGAGACCCACAGACTCACACAGAGACCCATGGACTCACACAGCAGAGACCCATGGACTCACACAGAGAGCCATAGACTCACACAGAGATCCATAGACTCACACAGCAGAGACCCATGGACTCACACAGAGACCCATAGACTCAGAGACCCATAGACTCACACAGAGACCCATAGACTCACACAGAGACCCATGGACTCACACAGAGACCCATAGACTCACACAGAGACCCATGGACTTATACAGAGAGCCATAGACTCACACAGAGACCCATGGACTCACACAGAGAACCATGGACTCACACAGAGACCCATAGACTCACACAGAGACCCATAGACTCACACAGAGACCCACGGACTCACACAGAGACCCATGGACTCACACAGAGAGCCATAGACTCACACAGAGACCCATGGACTCACACAGAGAACCATGGACTCACACAGAGACCCATAGATACACACAGAGACCCATAGACTCACACAGAGACCCATAGACTCACACAGAGACCCATGGACTTATACAGAGAGCCATAGACTCACACAGAGACCCATGGACTCACACAGAGAACCATGGACTCACACAGAGACCCATAGACTCACACAGAGACCCATAGACTCACACAGAGACCCATAGACTTATACAGAGAGCCATAGACTCACACAGAGACCCATGGACTCACACAGAGAACCATGGACTCACACAGAGGCCCATAGACTCAGAGACCCATAGACTCACACAGAGACCCATAGACTCACACAGAGACCCATGGACTTATACAGAGAGCCATAGACTCACACAGAGACCCATGGACTCACACAGAGAACCATGGAGTCACACAGAGACCCATAGACTCACACAGAGACCCATAGACTCACACAGAGACCCATGGACTTATACAGAGAGCCATAGACTCACACAGAGACCCATGGACTCACACAGAGAACCATAGACTCACACAGAGACCCATGGACTCACACAGAGACCCATGGACTCTCCACAGAGACCCACAGACTCACACAGAGACCCATGGACTCACACAGAGACCCATGGACTCACACAGAGACCCATGGACTCTCCACAGAGACCCATCGACTCACACAGAGACCCATAGACTCACACAGAGACCCATAGACTCACACAGAGACCCATAGACTCACACAGAGACCCACAGACTCACACAGAGACCCACAGACTCACACAGAGACCCATGGACTCACACAGAGACCCATAGACTCGCACAGAGACCCATAGACTCACACAGAGACCCACAGACTTATACAGAGATCCATAGACTCACACAGCAGAGACCCATGGACTCACACAGAGACCCATAGACTCACACAGAGACCCACAGACTCACACAGAGACCCACGGACTCACACAGAGACCCACAGACTCACACAGAGACCCACGGACTCACACAGAGACCCATAGACTCACACAGAGACCCATAGACTCACACAGAGACCCACGGACTCACACAGAGACCCATGGACTCACACAGAGACCCATGGACTCACACAGAGACCCACAGACTCACACGCGTGACGTGGCAAGCGGGAGGGAGGTGGTGGGGGTGATGGATGTGCGTGTTCATTAAACCGGTTACTGTGGTGGAGGCTTGCAGAACCTGCCCGGGCAGCTCACACCCCCTCCCCACGTGTTAATGAGGCGCCCCGAGCCCAGAGAGGAGCCTCATTATCCTGCTCCTCGGCATCTGAGCTACGCACACGTGGGGTTGGCTGGGTGGGTGGGCGGGGTTGGCTGGGTGGGTGGGCGGGGTTGGCTGGGTGGGTGGGCGGGGTTGGCTGGGTGGGTGGGCGGGGTTGGCTGGTTGGGCGGAGTAGGCTGGGTGGGCGGGGTTGGCTGGGTGGGCGGGGTTGGCTGGGTGGGCGGGGTTGGTTGGTGGGCGGAGTTGGCTGGGCGGGCGGGGTTGGCTGGGTGGGCGGGGCTGGCTGGGTGGGCGGAGTTGGCTGGGTGGGCGGGGTTGGCTGGGTGGGCGGAGTTGGCTGGGCGGGCGGGGTTGGCTGGGTGGGCGGGGCTGGCTGGGTGGGCGGAGTTGGCTGGGTGGGCGGGGCTGGCTGGGTGGGCGGAGTTGGCTGGGTGGGCGGGGTTGGCTGGGTGGGCGGAGTTGGCTGGTTGGGCGGGGTTGGCTAGGTGGGCGGGGCTGGCTGGGTGGGCGGGGCTGGCTGGGTGGGCGGGGTGTCGGGCCTCGTTCAGAATGTCCTACTCCCCCATCTTTCTCTCTCTCACTCTCTTACTCTCAGCGAGTCAGTCGGCCAGTCAGCCAGTCAGCCGTACCACCACCACCCACCACCATCACCACCACCACCACCCACCACCACCACCACCAGCGCCACCACGCGGTGTGGGGGATCCCTTCACCCTTTGTGCCGTGTGGAGGGGAGGGGAGGGGAGGGACCCCCCCAGGAGGGACCCTCCCCATGGCCCCCCAGTGACCTCGGCTAATGACGGCCCCAGCCCCGGCCTGCCCGTGGCCGTGAGTAACGCCGGCAGCGCCGCTTGGGGGTGAGGCGGCCCTCACGAGGCGGGGCCAGTCGTATTAATAACCCCGCGTGCGGCCCCTCAACTCGCGCGCCTCGCTTGCTTAATGACATCGTCATTAGCGACGTCGTCGTCGTCGTCGTCATTAGCGACGTCGTCGTCGTCAGCGTCGTCACAGCCACCCATCCCGCAGTCGTTAGCGGGCATGGGGCAACACGCGAGCGGTGTCCCTCTCTGTCAACCCTCCCTACCCAGGTAGCGAGCCGCCGGCTACCCCGGCACCAGCCAGCTCCACACAGCCCCTGTCAACCCTCACTACCCAGGTAGCGAGCCGACTACCCTGGTACCAGCAGCTCTACACAGCCCCTGTCAACCCTCCCTACCCAGGTAGCGTGCCGCTGGCTACCCTGGTACCAGCCAGCTCCACACAGCCCCTGCCAACCCTCACTACCCAGGTAGCGAGCCGCCGGCTACCCCGGTACCAGCAGCTCCACACAACCCCTGTCAACCCTCCCTACCCAGGTAGCGAGCCGGCTACCCTGGTACCAGCCAGCTCTACACAGCCCCTGTCAACCCTCCCTACCCAGGTAGCGAGCCGACTACCCTGGCACCACCCAGCTCCACACAGCCCCTGCCAACCCTCACTACCCAGGTAGCGAGCCGACTACCCTGGCACCAGCAGCTCTACACAGCCCCTGTCAACCCTCACTACCCAGGTAGCGAGCCGACTACCCTGGTACCAGCAGCTCCACACAGCCCCTGTCAACCCTCCCTACCCAGGTAGCGTGCCGGCTACCCTGGCACCAGCAGCTCTACACAGCCCCTGTCAACCCTCCCTACCCAGGTAGTGTGCCGGCTACCCTGGTACCAGCAGCTCCACACAGCCCCTGCCAACCCTCCCTACCCATGTAGCGAGCCGCCGGCTACCCCGGTACCAGCCAGCTCCACACAGCCCCTGTCAACCCTCCCTACCCAGGTAGCGTGCCGGCTGACTACCCTGGTACCAGCAGCTCCACACAGCCCCTGTCAACCCTCCCTACCCAGGTAGCGAGCCGCCGGCTACCCTGGTACCAGCAGCTCCACACAGCCCCTGTCAACCCTCCCTACCCAGGTAGCGTGCCGGCTACCCTGGCACCAGCAGCTCTACACAGCCCCTGTCAACCCTCCCTACCCAGGTAGCGAGCCGCCGGCTACCCTGGTACCAGCCAGCTCCACACAGCCCCTGCCAACACTCCCTACCCAGGTAGTGTGCCGCTGACTACCCTGGTACCAGCCAGCTCTACACAGCCCCTGCCAACCCTCCCTACCCAGGTAGCGTGCCGGATACCCTGGTACCAGAAGCTCTACACAGCCCCTGCCAACCCTCACTACCCAGGTAGCGAGCCGCCGGCTACCCTGGTACCAGCAGCTCCACACAACCCCTGTCAACCCTCCCTACCCAGGTAGCGTGCCGACTACCCTGGTACCAGCAGCTCTACACAGCCCCTGCCAACCCTCCCTACCCAGGTAGCGAGCCGCCGGCTACCCTGGTACCAGCAGCTCCACACAACCCCTGTCAACCCTCACTACCCATGTAGCGAGCCGACTACCCTGGCACCAGCAGCTCTACACAGCCCCTGCCAACCCTCCCTACCCAGGTAGCGTGCCGGTTACCCTGGTACCAGCCAGCTCCACACAGCCCCTGCCAACACTCCCTACCCAGGAGCGAGCCGACTACCCTGGTACCAGCAGCTCTACACAGCCCCTGCCAACCCTCCCTTCCGTCTCTCTCCCCCCCCTGAGCCATGCATGGCTCAGGGGGGGGAGAGAGCCCACCCGCTCGCTATCAACAGAAACTATTTTCTCGAAACTAAACGACTTTATATCACCGGGCAAGGCCCACAGAGCCTGTCCAGCTCTTTTCCAGAAGCGACCTCGGCCACGCACGACAGCTCCCACATTCAGGTGACCCGCTGCTCTAAACTCCCCACGTGATGACGATGACGATGAGCCGCTATCAGTTGAGATGGCCCAGAAAGCCGCACGGTAGCTCGATGAGGCCTCACCTGCTAAAATTACTAAAACATTTGTTTAGCTCAAGACGCCGGTGCGCCGCCGGTTTATAGCCGGGCGGCAGCTGCGGCGGCGACGGCGGCGGCGGTGGCTCTCGGCGCAGGCAGAGGGGCCCCTAATCGTCCAGCGCCACCGCGGACACACCGTGGACACACCGTGGACACACCACGGACACACCCCACACCGTGGACACACCACGGACACACCACGGACACACCCCACACCGTGGACACACCACGGACACACCACAGACACACCGTGGACACACCACGGACACACCGTGGACACACCACGGACACACCGTGGACACACCACAGACACACCACGGACACACCACAGACACACCATGGACACACCGTGGACACACCGTGGACACACCGTGGACACACCACGGACACACCGTGGACACACCACGGACACACCGTGGACACACCACGGACACACCACGGACACACCGTGGACACACCACGGACACACCACGGACACACCGTGGACACACCACAGACACACCGTGGACACACCACGGACACACCACGGACACACCACAGACACACCGTGGACACACCACAGACACACCACGGACACACCATGGACACACCGCGGACACACCGTGGACACACCACGGACACACCACTGATACACCGTGGACACACCACGGACACACCGTGGACACACCACAGACACACCGTGGACACACCCCACACCGTGGACACACCACGGACACACCATGGACACACCACGGACACACCACGGACACACCACAGACACACCACAGACACACCACGGACACACCGTGGACACACCACGGACACACCGTGGACACACCACGGACACACCACGGACACACCACGGACACACCCCACACCACGGACACACCACAGACACACCCCACACCGTAAACACACCATGGACACACCACGGACACACCGTGGACACACCACAGACACACCATGGACACACCATGGACACACCACGGACACACCGTGGACACACCGCGGACACACCACAGACACACCGCGGACACACCACTGATACACCGTGGACACACCACGGACACACCGCGGACACACCACGGACACACCAGCCCCCCCCCACCCACACCTGTTGATGTAGTCGTCGTAACAGGTGTAGATGGCGGCGAGACACACGGCCACCAGGTTGGGTAGCACACGCGGGTGTGGGCACTGCCCCGTGGGCCCGTGCATGCTGTGGGAACGCAGAGAAGCAGAGAAGCCCCGCCGGTCACGGCGTCAAGCCCACAAGCAGACCGGCGGGGCGGAGCCCACGTTAGTTGGCGGCAGCCACGGCAGCCATGGCCACGGAGGGCGGCGCGGTTGGGCGCACGACGGGGGGGGGGGGGGGGGGTGTGGCCGGCACCGGTGGTGGCGGGGGCGGGGATGGCGGCGGGGGTGATGGTGGCGGGGATGATGATGGCGGTGGCGGTGGTGATGATGGCGGCGGTGGGGATGGTGGCGGTGGTGATGATGGCGGTGGCGATGGTGGCGGTGGTGATGGTGGCGGGGATGATGATGGCGGTGGCGGTGGTGATGATGGCGGTGGCGATGGTGGCGGGGATGATGATGGCGGTGGGGATGGTGGCGGTGGTGATGGTGGCGGGGGTGATGGTGGCGGTAGGGATGGTGGCGGCGGTGGTAATGGTGGTGGCGGTGGTAATGGTGGTGGTGGTGAAGATGGCGGTGGAGGTGGTGGAGGTGGTGATAATGGCGGTGGAGGTGGTGATGGTGGCGGTGGTGATGGTGGCGGTGGTGATGGTGGCGGTGGCGGTGATGGTGGAGGCGATGGTCACGGTGGTGGTGATGGCGGCGGTGATGTGGGGAGGATGAGGAACGCACAAGAAGGGACACACGGGGGCTTTAAGCGCCCGCAAAAACAAAGATCCCCCGGGTAGCCTTAACGGACTGTCGGGGCAAGTGCTGTCAGCGAGCAGCACCTGTGAAGGCCGGGACGGTGGCGCACGAGGGGGTGGGTACCGCACCAGGTACTCATTTGAGGCCGAGTCGACCTAGGGAAAAGCCCAGGACCGGTTCAAATATTCGTCACCGGTGTTGGCCTTGAGCTGGAATCGAACTCGGGTCGCCGGGTTCGTAGCGCAGGGCGCTAACCGCGACACTGCCGGTCACCGCGACCACACACACGCACACACACGCGCACACGCACACACGTGTACACACACACACACACGTGTACACACACACACACACGTGCACGCGCACACGCACACACACACGTGTACACACACACACACGTGTACACACACACACACACGTGCACACACACGCGCACACACACACGTGTACACACACACACACGTGTACACACACACACACGTGTACACACACACACACGTGCACACACACGCACACACGCACACACACACGCGCACACACACACACGTGTACACACACGCACACGTGTACACACACGCACACACACGTGTACACACACGCGCACACACGTGTACACACACGCACACACGTGTACACACACGCACACACGTGTACACACACGCACACACACACACGTGTACACACACACACGTGTACACACACACGCACGCACACGTGTACACACACGCACACACACACACACACACGTGTACACACACGCGTACACACACGCGCACACACGTGCATACACACACGCACACACACACGCGCATACACGCACGCACACACGCGCACACACACACGTGTACACACGCGCACACACACGTACACACGAACGTACACAGACGTGCGCACACACACGCACACACACGTGCGCACACACACACGTGCGCACACACACACGTGCACACACACGTGCACGCCGCCTGACCTCTGGATGAACCTCTTGACGACATCCATGCCGGCGTTGAGTTCGCTGAGTGCCAGGATGTACTCCTGGGTGAAGACGCGCAGACGCGGGCACTTCCCAAAGTCCTGCACGCGTGTCACACGCACAGAGTACGTGTGTCACACACACACACGGAGCACACGTGACACACACACACACGGAGCACGTGTGACACACACACACATGGAGCACGTGTGACACACACACGGAGCACACGTGACACACACACACGGAGCACACGTGACATATAACAACAACAACAACCGCCATTCGCCACTAAGTGGAGGTGACGTCACCACGACGCTTGTGCCAGGCCATGCCAGGTGCGTGTCATATGCACACACACTCACCCACACTCACCCACACTCACCCACACTCAAAGACAAAGATCACCCATGTAGCCTGTAACAGACTGTAGGGGCAAGTGCTGTTAGCGAGCACCCTGTGAAGGCCGGTAACGGCACACGAGGGGGCGGGTGGCTACCAGCACCACGCCCGGCCGCCTTTGTCTCCCCAGTGGCGATGTTTACTACAACACCGCACAAGGTACTCATTGGGAGGCCTAGGAACGGTTCAGAGAATCGTCACCGATGTTGGCCGTGAGCGGGAATCGAACTCGGGTCGCCGGGTTCGTAGCGCAGCGCTAATCACTGCTACACCACCCTCACCCACCCACCCTCACCACCCTCACCCACCACTCCCACCACCCTCACCCACCACACTCACCACTCACCACCCGCACCCACCCACCCTCACTACCCTCACCCACCACCCTCACCACACTCACCCACCCACCCTCACCACCCTCACCACCCTCACCCACCCACCCTCACCACCCTTACCCACCCACCCCCCTCACACACCCACACCCACCACTCTCACTCACTCACCCACCACCCTCACCCCCCTCACCCACCCACCCTCACACACCCACCCTCACCCACCCACCCTCACCCACCCACACCCACCCCCCTCACCCACCCACCCTCATCACCCACACCCACCCCCCTCACCCACCCACCCTCACCACCCTCACCCACCCACCCTCACCCACCCACCCTCACCACCCTCACCATGTTGTGCTTGAGGATTCGCTGGACCACGGGGGTGAACACCTCAATAATGACCAGGGACCGTGGCCGCTCCCGGCAGTGCTGAGGGGAGGGGGCGGAGGGGGCGAGGGAGTGGAGGGAGTGGAGGGAGGGGAGTGGAGGGGAGGGAGTGAAGTGGGGTGGGGGAGTGGAGGGAGGGAGTGGAGGGAGTGGAGTGGAGGGGAGGGAGTGGAGTGGAGTGGAGGGAGTGGAGTGGAGTGGAGGGAGTGGATTGAGGGAGTGGAGTGGAGGGAGTGGAGTGGAGTGGAGGGAGTGGAGTGGAGTGGAGGGAATGGAGTGGAGTGGATGGAGGGAGTGGAGGGTGGAATGGGGTGGGGGAGTGGATGGAGGGAGTGGTGTGGAGGGAGTGGTTGTAGTGGAGTGGAGGGAGTGGAGGGAGGGGAGGGAGTGGAGGGAGTGGAGGGGAAGGGAGGGAGTGGAGGGAGTGGAGGGGAGTGAGTGGAGTGGAGTGGAGGGAGTGGAGTGGAGGGAGTGGAGTGGAGTGGAGGGAGTGGAGTGGAGGGAGTGGAGTGGAGGGAGTGGAGTGGAGTGGAGGGAGTGGAGTGGAGTGGAGGGAGTGGAGGGAGTGGAGTGGAGGGAGTGGAGGGAGTGGAGGGAGTGGAGGGAGTGGAGTGGAGGGAGTGGAGGGAGTGGAGGGAGTGGAGTGGAGTGGAGGGAGTTGAGGGAGTGGAGGGAGTGGAGTGGAGGGAATGGAGTGGAGGGGAGGGAGTGGATGGAGGGAGTGGATGGAGGGAGTGAGGGAGGGAGTGGAGTGGAGGGAGTGGAGTGGAATGGAGGGAGTGGAGTGGAGTGGAGGGAGTGGAGTGGAGGAAGTGGAGTGGAGGGAGTGAGTGTAGTGGAGGGAGTGGATGGAGGGAGTGGAGTGGAGTGGAGGGAGTGGAGGGAGTGGAGTGGAGTGGATGGAGGGAGTGGAGGGAGTGGAGTGGAGTGAGTGGAGTGGAGGGAGTGGAGGGAGTCATTACAACAGACAGCCGTGGTCTCTGTGTGAACCCACACACACACACAGACACGCACGGAGGCAGCTAATTGCGATTGTCAAGAATGTAGGAGGGGTGTGGACCCCGAAGCTGACAAACACAAACCGGTCTATCACCAACACCAACACCAACGCCCACGACAAAGACGACGACTTTTGTTGTTGTTGTTGTGCTGCTGCTGCTGCCTTGCCCACGCTTGCAATCTGCGCCTGGACCACCCTCGCCGGAGCGCCGTGGGCACGGCAGCTCGCCGGCCCACCGAGGCCGTCTGGAACGCTCTTCCCCTCCTCCTCCTCCTCCTCCCGCTGTTAGGGAGCGACTGGGAGCTGTGCCCCACTTTGAAATCATCGTCGTCAACGTCTAGATTGACAAACTCATTGATTTAGAACTCCTGCTGCTGCTGCTACTGCTCCTGCTGCTGCTGCTGTTGTTGTTGTGTTTAGTTTGTTGGCCTTCCACCCACCCCCTCACTCCCGATGAGCGCGGTTGGCTACGTACGGTGTGGAAGAAGTTCAACGCACGTGGACTCAGAGACCCACAGACTTATACAGAGACCCATAGACTCACACAGCAGAGACCCATAGACTCACACAGCAGAGACCCATAGACTCACACAGCAGAGACCCATAGACTCACACAGCAGAGACCCATAGACTCACACAGCAGAGACCCATAGACTCACACAGCAGAGATCCATAGACTCATCACACAGAGATCCATAGACTCACACAGAGACCCACAGACTCATCACACAGAGACCCATAGACTCACACAGCAGAGACCCACAGACTCACACAGCAGAGACCCGTAGACTCATACAGCAGAGACCCATAGACTCACACACAGAGACCCATAGACTCACACACAGAGACCCATAGACTCACACAGCAGAGACCCATAGACTCACACAGCAGAGACCCATAGACTCACACAGCAGAGACCCATAGACTCACACAGCAGAGACCAATAGACTCACACGGCAGAGACCCATAGACTCACACAGGAGAGACCCATAGACTCACACAGCAGAGACCCATAGACTCACTACACAGAGACCCATCGACTCACACAGAGATCCATAGACTCACACAGCAGAGACCCATAGACTCACACAGCAGAGACCCATAGACTCACACAGGAGAGACCCATAGACTCACACAGAGACCCATAGACTCACACAGAGACCCATAGACTCACACAGGAGAGACCCATCGACTCACACAGAGACCCATAGACTCACACAGCAGAGACCCATAGACTCACACAGGAGAGACCCATAGACTCACACAGCAGAGACCAATAGACTCACTACACAGAGACCCATAGACTCACACAGCAGAGACCCATAGACTCACACAGAGATCCATAGACTCACACAGAGACCCATAGACTCACACAGCAGAGACCCATAGACTCACACAGCAGAGACCCATAGACTCACTACAAAGAGACCCATAGACTCACACAGCAGAGGCCCATAGACTCACACAGCAGAGACCAATAGACTCACCACACAAAGACCCATAGACTCACACAGCAGAGACCCATAGACTCACCACACAGAGACCCATAGACTCACACAGCAGAGACCAATAGACTCACTACAAAGAGACCCATAGACTCACACAGCAGAGACCCATAGACTCACACAGAGATCCATAGACTCACTACAGAGACCCATAGACTCACACAGCAGAGACCCATAGACTCACACAGAGATCCATATACTCACACAGCAGAGACCCATATACTCACACAGCAGAGACCCACAGACTCACACAGCAGAGACCCATAGACTCACACAGAGACCCACAGACTCACACAGCAGAGACCCATAGACTCACACAGCAGAGACCCATAGACTCACTACACAGAGACCCATAGACTCACACAGCAGAGACCCACAGACTCACACAGCAGAGACCCATAGACTCACACAGAGACCCACAGACTCACACAGCAGAGACCCATAGACTCACACAGCAGAGACCCACAGACTCACTACACAGAGACCCACAGACTCACACAGCAGAGACCCATAGACTCACACAGCAGAGACCCATAGACTCACCACACAGAGATCCATAGACTCACACAGCAGAGACCCATAGACTCACACAGCAGAGACCCATAGACTCACCACACAGAGACCCATAGACTCACACAGCAGAGTCCCATCGTTTGTTGTCCTTCCCCACACCTCTGATTAGCACGGTTGGCTACGAACGGAGCGAAAGAAGTTCAACACACACACAGATGCATGTGTTTCATCTCCTAAACGTGTTTCATTTTGAGTGATTTGATTACCTTTCCCCTGACTGGACATCTGTTAAACAAAGAGCTTCATAGATCATCGGATTTCTCCAGCCCAAATAAAGATCCGGATTCCGATGAGCGGCACGACCAATAACAATACCCCGGCCATTCGCCCCACTCAGTGACGGCGACGTCACCGCGGCGCCCGTGCCAGGCTAGGTGCACTTTGAGGCTACCACGTGAAGTGTCGAAGGATCCCCGCTGGCAGGAGGTCACGGGGCAGACCCAGCAGGTGCCACGGGTCGACTGACTGAGATGACTGGCTGATGCACCACCTGTACCCCCTACTGTGCCAACCTGCTGTGCTTTAGCCACCCGGCGCTCCGTTCGTTGTTGTGAGCGTCGCTCCTCCGCCCTCCGTTGTTGTTGGAGGGCGACTACCTCCGACTGCCCAGTAGCATCCTTCACGAGCCTCCTCCACAGAGGCCGATCTTGACACCGCTAGTACCAGTCATCGGCAAGTCCACTCAGCTCCACGTCCTCCTGTACCACATCACTCCATCTCTTCTCTAGCCTGTGCCGCGCCCGTTTAGCCCCCTCGATCCGGCCGAACAAAAGCTGTTTCGGCATGCGGTGGCTGGGCATGCGGGCTACATGACCCAGCCAAAGAAGCCTTGCCTGCCGGAGGAGCTCACCGATGGGAACTTGCCCAGATCTTTCAAGGATTTGTGAGCTCTTCACACAATCCAGCCTGGTTAAACCCAGGATGGATTGTAGGCAGGCTAGCCTAAATGTTTCCAACCGGCGAAGATGTTCCATTAAGGGGGTCCACGTTTCGCAAGCGTAGAGAAGGGAAGGAATGACCGTGGCCGAGAAGACCTGAAGCTTAGTGCTGAGCGACAAACCAGGTAGCTTCCACACAGCGTTACGCAACTGATGAAAAATATTGCCGCTCGACTGATTCGGAGTGAGGCTACTGCTGTTAAACTGGAGCCGGTCATAAGCACACTGCCCAGGTATGGGAAACTCTCCACTCTCTCCACAACTGCCCCATCACCGATTGGGAGTTGTGGGGGTGGAGTGTCCGATGGCACAAAATACCCAGGCAGGTGCTTAGTTTTGGTGGGGCTGATGGTAAGGCCCCATCTCTTAGTGGCACGCTCCAGTCTCAGCAGCAGCGTCTCCAACTCCTCCTCTGAATAAGCAGCTATTACCAAATCATCGGCATACATAACGTGGTTGAGCAATAGGGAGCCATCCCTTGACCGCACCCGGGCATCGATCAGCCTCCCATTATATCTGTACCATATGGAGATTCCCCCGGTACAGCTATTGAAGGCTTCACGAACTACGTGGTCAAAATAGATGTTAAATAATGTGGGAGCCAGAGGACATCCCTGTCGCACCCCCAAGGTGTACAGGGAATGGCTCCGACTCCCGGCCACGTAGTTTTACCCGGGCCCGCTCACCATCATGAAGGTCCTTAACGATCGTGAGCAGCGGTTTCAGGGACTCCGAAAGCACGAAGAACAACCCAGAGTCCAGGGCCTACTGATGGTATCATAGGCCTTGACCAGGTCAACAAAACAGAGACGTAGGTCTTGCTGGTAATTCCCTACACCTCTGCTGTAGCAGACGGACAGAACATATGGCATCTGTGCAGGACCGCCCTTTTCCTCACTCACACTTACTCACTCACACTCACACACAGCCCTGGGGATTCAGGGCAGGGGGGGGGTGAGCACGAGGGTGAGGCTGTGCGCGGGGGCCGTGACAGTGGGCACCACGGGGAAGGAAGCGAAACCCCGGCCCACCACTCCACCCGCTCTCGCTCACCTGGCAGAAAAAGTCGCAGAGCGTGGGCGGCGGGGCGTTGTTCTCCAGTAGCGGGGCGATGGCCTAAGACGATGGGGGGGGAGGAGGGGGTGGCACACGGAGGGGGAAGGGGTGGCGGGTGAGAGGGGAACCTCCTTGGGGGAAGGCGTGGGCGCGAAACGTCGTGCCGACCAAACGGTCCAGCCACCGTGGCTGGACGGTGTTCAGCTCCCTCGCGCCGGTAGGCGGGGGAGGTGGTGGTGGTGGTGGTGGGGTTCCATCCCGATACCCTTTGTTTGTGTTTAGTTCCCTGTCCTTCTCCCATAGACTCAGCACACAGAGAGCCATAGACTCAGCACACAGAGACCCATAGACTCAGCACACAGAGCCATAGACTCACCACACAGAGACCCATAGACTCAGCACACAGAGACCCATAGACTCAGCAAAGAGACCCATAGACTCAGCAGACAGAGACACATAGACTCACCACACAGAGACCCATAGACTCATCACACAGAGACCCATAGACTCATCACACAGATACCCATAGACTCAGCACACAGAGACCCATAGACTCAGCACACAGAGACCCATAGACTCACCACACAGAGACCCATACTCAGCACACAGAGACCCATAGACTCACCACACAGGGACCCATAGACTCACCACACAGAGAGCCATAGACTCACTACACAGAAAGCCATAGACTCACTACACAGAGCCATAGACTCACTACACAGAGAGCCATAGACTCACTACACAGAGACCCAGACTCACTACACAGAGACCCATAGACTCATCACACAGACCCATAGACTCACCACACAGAGACCCATAGACTCACCACACAGAGACCCATAGACTCACCACACAGAGACCCACAGACTCACAACACAGAGATCCATAGACTCACCACACAGAAAGCCACAGACTCAGCACACAGAGACCCATAGACTCACCACACAGAGACCCACAGATTCACATAGAGACCCATAGACTCACCACACAGAGACCCACAGACTCATCGCACATAGACCCACAGACTCACCACACAGAGACCCACAGACTCACCACACAGATACCCATAAACTCAGCACACAGAGACCCATAGACTCAGCACACAGAGACCCATAGACTCACCACACAGAAACCCACAGACTCACCACACAGAGACCCACAGACTCATCGCACATAGACCCACAGACTCACCAGACAGAGACCCATAGAATCACCACACAGAGACCCATAGACTCACCACACAGAGACCCATAGACTCATCACACTGAGACCCACAGACTCACCACACAGAGCACCCCATAGACTCACCACACAGAGACCCATAGACTCACCACACAGAGACCCATAGACCCACCACACAGAGACCCATAGATGCACCACACAGAGACCCACAGTCTCACCACACAGAGAGCCATAGACTCACCACATGGAGACCCATAGACTCACCACACAGAGACCCACAGACTCACCACACAGAGACCCACAGACTCACCACACAGAGACCCACAGACTCAGCACACACAGAGACCCACAGACTCACCACACAGAGACCCACAGACTCACCACACAGAGACCCACAGACTCACCACACAGAGACCCATAGACTCACCACACAGAGACCCACAGACTCACCACACAGAGACCCACAGACTCACCACACAGAGACCCACAGACTCAGCACACACAGAGACCCACAGACTCACCACACAGAGACCCACAGACTCACCACACAGAGACCCATAGACTCACCACACAGAGACCCACAGACTCACCACACAGAGACCCATAGACTCATCACACAGAGACCCACAGTCTCACCACACAGAGACCCACAGACTCACCACACAGAGACCCACAGACTCACCACACAGAGACCCACAGTATCACCACACAGAGACCCATAGACTCACCACACAGAGACCCACAGACTCACCACACAGAGACCCACAGACTCAGCACACAGAGACCCATAGACTCACCACACAGAGACCCACAGACTCACCACACAGAGACCCACAGACTCAGCACACACAGAGACCCACAGACTCACCACACAGAGACCCACAGACTCACCACACAGAGACCCATAGACTCACCACACAGAGACCCACAGACTCACCACACAGAGACCCATAGACTCATCACACAGAGACCCACAGTCTCACCACACAGAGACCCACAGACTCACCACACAGAGACCCACAGTATCACCACACAGAGACCCATAGACTCACCACACAGAGACTCACAGACTCACCACACAGAGACCCACAGACTCAGCACACAGAGACCCACAGACTCACCACACAGAGACCCACAGACTCAGCACACAGAGACCCACAGACTCACCACACAGAGACCCATAGACTCACCACACAGAGACCCACAGACTCACCACACAGAGACCCACAGACTCACCACACAGAGACCCACAGACTCACCACACAGAGACCCACAGACTCACCACACAGAGACCCACAGACTCACCACACAGAGACCCACAGACTCACCACACAGAGATCCATAGACTCGCCACACAGAGACCCACAGACTCACCACACAGAGACCCACAGACTCACCACACAGAGACCCACAGACTCACCGTGCCACGGCCTTCACAGGCGCTGCTACTCGCTACTAACAGCACTTGCCCCGACAGTTAAAGAGGCGGCACGGGGACAGGGTGGGTAGTGGGTGGGCATCTGTAGTCTTTGCCTTGCAACACTCACCACGATTATGCTCTCATGCTCCACAGGCGAGAGGTGTGGGTTCTGCGCGGGGGGGGGGGGGGGGGGGGGGGAGCGGGGGGGTGGGGGTAAACGCACGCAGTGAAAACGGCGTGGGCGGTGAGACGCGGAATCCCCCCTGCCAGCAGGGACTTCGCACATCCATCAGCACCTTTATCGCTCCGACAGCTCGCGAGAGAGTGAGAGAGAGAGCGAGCGAGAGAGGGAGCGAGAGAGAGAGAGAGAGTGAGCGAGAGAGTGAGTGAGAGAGAGAGCGAGCGAGAGAGGGAGCGAGAGAGAGTGAGAGAGTGAGTGAGAGAGTGAGAGAGCGAGAGAGAGAGCGAGAGAGAGTGAGTGAGAGAGGGAGCGAGAGAGAGAGTGAGTGGGTGAGTGAGTGAGAGAGCGAGTGAGAGTGTGAGTGAGAGGGTGAGTGAGAGTGTGAGTGAGAGGGTGAGTGAGAGTGTGAGTGAGAGGGTGAGTGAGAGTGTGAGTGAGAGGGTGAGTGAGAGGGCGAGTGAGTGAGTGAGTGTGCAAGTGAGAGAGGGAGCAAGTGAGTGAGTGAGTGAGAGAGCGAGTGAGTGAGTGAGTGTGCGAGTGAGAGAGGGAGCGAGAGTGAGTGAGCGAACGAGTGAGGGACCGAGAGAGTGAGTGTCTATGTGTGTCTCTCTGCGTGACGAGTCTATGTGTGTCTCTGTGTGATGAGTCTACGTGTCTCTCTGTGTGATGAGTCTACGTGTCTCTCTGTGTGATGAGTCTATGTGTCTCTCTGGGTGATGAGTCTACGTGTCTCTCTGTGTGATGAGTCTACGTGTCTCTCTGCGTGACGAGTCTATGTGTGTCTCTGTGTGATGAGTCTACGTGTCTCTCTGTGTGATGAGTCTACGTGTCTCTCTGGGTGATGAGTCCACGTGTCTCTCTGGGTGATGAGTCTACGTGTCTCTCTGCGTGATGAGTCTACGCGTCTCTCTGTGTGATGAGTCTACGTGTCTCTCTGTGTGATGAGTCTACGTGTCTCTCTGCGTGATGAGTCTACGTGTCTCTCTGTGTGATGAGTCTATGTGTCTCTCTGGGTGATGAGTCTACGTGTCTCTCTGTGTGATGAGTCTACGTGTCTCTCTGCGTGACGAGTCTATGTGTGTCTCTTTGTGATGAGTCTACGTGTCTCTCTGTGTGATGAGTCTACGTGTCTCTCTGTGTGATGAGTCTATGTGTCTCTCTGGGTGATGAGTCTACGTGTCTCTCTGTGTGATGAGTCTACGTGTCTCTCTGCGTGACGAGTCTATGTGTGTCTCTTTGTGATGAGTCTACGTGTCTCTCTGTGTGATGAGTCTACGTGTCTCTCTGTGTGATGAGTCTATGTGTCTCTCTGGGTGATGAGTCTACGTGTCTCTCTGTGTGATGAGTCTACGTGTCTCTCTGCGTGACGAGTCTATGTGTGTCTCTGTGTGATGAGTCTACGTGTCTCTCTGTGTGATGAGTCTACGTGTCTCTCTGGGTGATGAGTCCACGTGTCTCTCTGGGTGATTAGTCTACGTGTCTCTCTGCGTGATGAGTCTACGTGTCTCTCTGTGTGATGAGTCCACGTGTCTCTCTGCGTGACGAGTCCACGCGTCTCTCTGCGTGATGAGTCCACGTGTCTCTCTGCGTGACGAGTCTACGTGTCTCTCTACGTGATGATTCTACGTGTCTCTCTGCGTGATGATTCTACGTGTCTCTCTACGTGATGATTCTACGTGTCTCTCTGTGTGATGAGTCTATGTGTCTCTCTGTGTGATGAGTCCACGTGTCTCTCTGTGTGATGAGTCTACGTGTCTCTCTGTGTGATGAGTCTACGTGTCTCTCTGTGTGATGAGTCCACGTGTCTCTCTGTGTGATGAGTCTATGTGTCTCTCTGCGTGATGATTCTACGTGTCTCTCTGTGTGATGAGTCTATGTGTCTCTCTGTGTGATGAGTCCACGTGTCTCTCTGCGTGACGAGTCCACGTGTCTCTCTGTGTGATGATTCTACGTGTCTCTCTGTGTGATGAGTCCACGCGTCTCTCTGGGTGATGAGTCCACGCGTCTCTCTGCGTGACGAGTCTACGTGTCTCTCTGGGTGATGAGTCTACGTGTCTCTCTGTGTGATGAGTCTATGTGTCTCTCTGTGTGATGAGTCCACGTGTCTCTCTGCGTGACGAGTCTATGTGTCTCTCTGTGTGATGAGTCTACGTGTCTCTCTGTGTGATGAGTCTACGTGTCTCTCTGCGTGATGAGTCTACGTGTCTCTCTGTGTGATGAGTCTATGTGTCTCTCTGGGTGATGAGTCTACGTGTCTCTCTGCGTGATGAGTCTACGCGTCTCTCTGTGTGACGAGTCCACGCGTCTCTCTACGTGATGATTCTACGTGTCTCTCTGTGTGATGAGTCTACGTGTCTCTCTGGGTGACGAGTCCACGTGTCTCTCTGCGTGATGAGTCTACGTGTCTCTCTGTGTGATGAGTCCACGTGTCTCTCTGCGTGATGAGTCCACGTGTCTCTCTGTGTGATGAGTCTACGTGTCTCTCTGCGTGACGAGTCCACGTGTCTCTCTGCGTGATGAGTCTACGTGTCTCTCTGTGTGATTAGTCTACGTGTCTCTCTGCGTGACGAGTCTATGTGTCTCTCTGCGTGACGAGTCCACGCGTCTCTCTGTGTGATGAGTCTACGTGTCTCTCTGGGTGACGAGTCCACGCGTCTCTCTGTGTGATGAGTCCACGTGTCTCTCTGCGTGACGAGTCCATGCGTCTCTCTGCGTGACGAGTCTATGTGTCTCTCTGCGTGATGAGTCTACGTGTCTCTCTGTGTGATGAGTCTACGTGTCTCTCTGGGTGATGAGTCCACGTGTCTCTCTGTGTGATGAGTCTATGTGTCTCTCTGGGTGATGAGTCTACGTGTCTCTCTGTGTGATGATTCTACGAGTCTCTCTACGTGACGAGTCCATGCGTCTCTCTGCGTGACGAGTCTATGTGTCTCTCTGTGTGATGAGTCTATGTGTCTCTCTGGGTGACGAGTCCACGCGTCTCTCTGTGTGATGAGTCCACGTGTCTCTCTGCGTGACGAGTCCATGCGTCTCTCTGCGTGACGAGTCTATGTGTCTCTCTGCGTGATGAGTCTACGTGTCTCTCTGTGTGATGATTCTACGAGTCTCTCTACGTGACGAGTCCATGCGTCTCTCTGCGTGACGAGTCTATGTGTCTCTCTGCGTGACGAGTCCACGCGTCTCTCTGCGTGACGAGTCTACATGTCTCTCTGCGTGACGAGTCTATGTGTCTCTCTGCGTGACGAGTCTATGTGTCTCTCTGCGTGACGAGTCTACGTGTCTCTCTGCGTGACGAGTCTACGTGTCTCTCTGCGTGACGAGTCTACGTGTCTCTCTGCGTGACGAGTCTACGTGTCTCTCTGCGTGACGAGTCTACGTGTCTCTCTGCGTGATGAGTCTATGTGTCTCTCTGCGTGATGAGTCTACGTGTCTCTCTGCGTGATGAGTCTACGTGTCTCTCTGCGTGACGAGTCTACGTGTCTCTCTGTGTGATGAGTCTACGTGTCTCTCTGCGTGACGAGTCCACGTGTCTCTCTGTGTGATGAGTCTACGTGTCTCTCTGTGTGATGAGTCTACGTGTCTCTCTGGGTGACGAGTCCACGTGTCTCTCTGTGTGATGATTCTACGTGTCTCTCTGTGTGATGAGTCTATGTGTCTCTCTGCGTGATGAGTCTACGTGTCTCTCTGTGTGATGAGTCCACGTGTCTCTCTGTGTGATGAGTCTATGTGTCTCTCTGTGTGATGAGTCCACGTGTCTCTCTGTGTGATGAGTCTATGTGTCTCTCTGCGTGATGAGTCTACGTGTCTCTCTATGTGATGAGTCTACGTGTCTCTCTGTGTGATGAGTCTACGTGTCTCTCTGCGTGACGAGTCCACGTGTCTCTCTGTGTGATGAGTCTATGTGTCTCTCTGTGTGACGAGTCTACGTGTCTCTCTGCGTGACGAGTCCACGCGTCTCTCTGCGTGACGAGTCCACGGGTCTCCGCAGTGCGAGCCTGGACGCCGCACCTCCGTCACGAGCTTGGAGACGATGTCCAGGGGCACCTGGTGGATGGAGTCGTCCTGCAGGGGCGAGCAAAGCGACATGTCCACCAGCAGGCGGATCTCCTTGAGGACCACCTCCCAGCGGCCCGCATTCCACAGCAGCTTCTTGTAGGTGTAGGTCTTCTTCTGCGCACGAGGGCAGGCGGGACAAGCGGGGAGAGACGCGCGAGCACCAGACAGCAGCGCCCCGAGTTTCCACTCCCGCTCAACGGACATCGACTCCGGCGACGATTGTCCGAAGCGGACCCCGGGCCTCCGACCGACCGACACCCAACCCCCTCCCAAGGTAGACTCGGCGTCAAATGAGCTACCTGGTGCAGCGTGCAGTGGGCATCGCCAATGGGGGGAGACAAAGGCGGCCGGGCGTGGTGCTGGCCGCCCACTAGGGCTGAACGATTTGGGGGAGAAACATCTATCGTGCGATTTTTCTCACAGATATTGCGATTTGATTTCATTTGCGATCACATTTTTTTCAAGTCAAGCTGCAGCTCAATATTCACCGCGTAGCAGATTTAAAACACGTGACGGAGCATCACCACGTGATACCGTCAACATATTAACTGCTCTATGTATGCTAATGCCAGGATGAGAACTTGAAAGATATTAATTTCTTCCAACGTGTATTTATTAAAATGTTTTCATTGAAATAGAGCAATCATCCATAGAACAATTGTTAAGTTAAATAAATCAAGTTATAATAATTATAATATAAATTAAAACAATTCCAATAAGAAAGTAATAGGGACTTTGCAAATCGCAAAAAATCGCAGCCTTTGCTATTTGCTAATCGCGTTGTTTCAAATTGCGATTGAGATTTGAAATCGATTAATCGTTCGGCCCTACCGCCCACTCCCTCGTGTGCTGTGCCGGCCTTTGTAGGTGCTCGCTCACAGCACTTGCCCCTACAATCTGTTCAAGGCTACACGGTGGATATGTTTTCTTTGTGCGAGTGAGTGTGTCTGTGAGTGGGTGCATGGGTGAGTGTGTCCGTACGTGAGTGAGTGAGTGTGTCCGTGCATGAGTGAGTGTGTGTGAGTGAGTGGGTGGGTGGGTGAATGAGTAAGTGAGTGGGTGAATGACTGAGTGGGTGAGTGAGTGTGTCCGTGCATGAGTGAGTGTGTGAGTGGGTGGGTGGGTGAATGAGTAAGTGAGTGGGTGAATGACTGAGTGGGTGAGTGAGTGTGTCCGTGCATGAGTGAGTGTGCGAGTGAGTGGGTGGGTGGGTGAATGAGTAAGTGAGTATGTGAATGACTGAGTGGGTGAGTGAGTGTGTCCGTGCATGAGTGAGTGTGTGAGTGGGTGGGTGAATGAGTGAGTGGGTGAGTGAGTGAGTGAGTGTGTCCGTGCACGAGCGGGTGAGTGAGTGAGTGGGTGAGTGAGTGTGTCCGTGCATGAGCGGGTGAGTGTGCGCGTGTGTGTGTGTGAGTGGGTGAGTGTGTGTGCATGAGGGGGTGAGTGAGGGTGCGAGTGTGTGTGTGAGAGTGAGTGAGTGTGCGTGAGTGAATGGGTGAGGGTGTGAGTGAGTGTGTGCGTGAGTGTGTGAGTGAGTGTGTGGGTGGGTGTGTGAGTGTGGTGGGTGTGTGAGTGGGTGAGTGTGTGCATGAGTGGGTGAGTGTGTGAGTGAGTGTGTGGGTGTGTGAGTGGGTGAGTGTGTGCATGAGTGGGTGAGTGTGTGAGTGAGTGTGTGAGTGGGTGGGTGTGTTGATGAGTGGGTGAGTGTGTGAGTGAGTGTGTGAGTGGGTGGGTGTGTGGATGAGTGGGTAAGTGTGTGAGTGTGTGGGTGGGTGTGTGAGTGTGTGGGCGAGTGAGTGGGTGAGTGTGTGCATGTGTGGGTGCTGTGTGGATGAGCGAGTGAGTGTGTGGGTGAGTGAGTGGGCGGAAGGGCGCGTGGACGGCTGAGCGTTTGAGTGTGTGCGAGTGAGTGTGTGGGGAGCGGCCGTGCTCGCTAACACCACTTGCCCCGAGAGTCTACTGAGGCTAGAGATAGTGGGATCTCAATCTTTGCGCTGCGCTCCGAACCCGCCATCCCCATTTTCATCCGAGCCGGTCCCGGGCCTCCTCCCCTAGGTCGACTCGGCCTCAAATGAGCCTTCACTCGGGCGTTGCCACTCGCCAACGGCCCCCTGCCCTTACAGCCTGCCAAGGCTCCACGGGGAGGGATCTTCGTCTTGAGCGGGGTGTGCGAGTTAGCGCGTGAGAGTGAGCGGATGTGCCGACACCCCCCCTCACGCCGCCGACCCCACCGCCTCCACCGCCTCCGCCGCCTCCGTCCGCACCGAGGGCTCTGCTTCATTAAGGCCACCGCCGGCAAAAACTCGTGAATGTCAACGCCATCAATAAAGTCGCATGCGTGATGAGCGCGAAAACCAGGGGCTGGCCACGCTCGAGTGGCCCGTTAATTCAAAGCAAAGGAACCCGATTGTAATTCTTGACGTCGGGGACCAACCCAAATGCTTGCGTATGGGGGGCGTCTGCTGAGAAGGTACGCGTAGGAAACGGGGGTTGGGGGAGGCGGGGGGTGTGGTGAAGCCTCGATAATAATTCGTCTACATTGGCCTTCAAATGAGTGAGATCGTCCGGGCGGTGGACTATCCGTTTTGCTTAAAAACCGCGTTAACATTATGAATCCTCGATCGTTTCTGCGCGGATTCAATATCGGCCGTTCTATAGGATTCGGAGCGGGGGGGGGGGGTACGTCAAGCTGTACGTACCCAGGTGGGGGTGGAGTGGGGGTGTAAAAAGTCCGCGTGAGTACAGGGATCTCTGCGTGCCTACTCAACGGATGGCCCCTTACTTAAACGCCGTTTTAAAATTCCACGCGTTGCAGTTCCCACGTCACTGGCGTCACGCGCTGCGCGCTGATTTTGGATTGCTCACGAGATCTCCAAATTGGACAAAGCTCCAGTGTTTAAACAGTTTTTGTGTTGCCGGCTACCCTGGCACCAGCAGCTCCACACAGCCCCTGCCAACCCTCCCTACCCAGGTAGCGTGCCGGCTACCCTGGTACCAGCCAGCTCCACACAGCCCCTGTCAACCCTCCCTACCCAGGTAGCGTGCCAGCTGACTACCCTGGCACCAGCAGCTCCACACAGCCCCTGTCAACCCTCACTAGCCAGGTAGCGTGCCGGCTACCCTGGTACCAGCAGCTCCACACAGCCCCTGCCAACCCTCACTACCCAGGTAGTGTGGCGGCTACCCTGGTACCAGCAGCTCTACACAGCCCCTGTCAACCCTCCCTACCCAGGTAGCGTGACGTCTACCCTGGTACCAGCAGCTCCACACAGCCCCTGCCAACCCTCACTACCCAGGTAGTGTGCCGGCTACCCTGGTACCAGCAGCTCCACACAGCCCCTGTCAACCCTCCCTACCCAGGTAGCGTGCCGCTGACTACCCTGGCACCAGCAGCTCTACACAACCCCTGCCAACCCTCACTACCCATGTAGCGAGCCGGCTACCCTGGCACCAGCAGCTCCACACAGCCCCTGTCAACCCTCACTACCCAGGTAGCGTGCCAGCTACCCTGGCACCAGCAGCTCCACACAGCCCCTGTCAACCCTCACTACCCAGGTAGCGTGCCGGCTGACTACCCTGGCACCAGCAGCTCTACACAGCCCCTGTCAACCCTCCCTACCCAGGTAGCGAGCCGACTACCCTGGTACCAGCAGCTCTACACAGCCCCTGCCACCCCTCCCTACCCAGGTAGCGTGCCGCTGACTACCCTGGCACCAGCAGCTCCACACAGCCCCTGTCAACCCTCCCTACCCAGGTAGCGTGCCGGCTGACTACCCTGGTACCAGCAGCTCTACACAGCCCCTGATAACCCTCACTACCCTGGCACCAGCAGCTCCACACAGCCCCTGATAACCCTCACTACCCTGGTACCAGCAGCTCTACACAGCCCCTGATAACCCTCACTACCCTGGTACCAGCAGCTCTACACAGCCCCTGCCAACCCTCCCTACCCAGGTAGCGTGCCGGCTACCCTGGCACCAGCAGCTCCACACAGCCCCTGCCACCCCTCCCTACCCAGGTAGCGAGCCGGCTGACTACCCTGGCACCAGCAGCTCTACACAGCCCCTGCCAACCCTCCCTACCCAGGTAGCGTGCCGCCGGCCACCCTGGTACCAGCCGATTTTGCCGGGTTGCCATAATTCGCCAGGTAGGAATCCACTGAACTGTCACCCGGCACTGGCTCCAAGCTGCTTCTACGGACACAATAAATCGGACAATATGCCGCCTACACCCACCCACCCCCACCCGCCCCAACGTGAAAACAAGTTTTCATTTACACAGCGACGTGGTTTCTCCCGGAGTGCGTCACTTCAACGTAAGCGAAGCTCCGCACCGGTTCCGACATTCGGCGTCTCATCAGCGGCAGAGGTGGCGAAGGAGGAGGAGGTGGTGGTGGAGGACGGGGATGAGGATGAGGTGGTGGAGGAGATGGAGGAGGTGGAAGAGATGGAGGTGGTGGTGAAGGAGATGGAAGTGGTGGTGGAGGAGATGGAGGAGGTGGAGGAGGTGGAGATGGAGGAGGAGGTGGAGGAGATGGAGGAGATGGAGGAGGTGAAGGAGATGGAGGAGGTGGAGGAGATAGAGGAGGTGGAGGAGATGGAGGAGGTGGAGGAGATAGAGGAGATGGAGGAGGTGGAGGAGATAGAGGAGGTGGAGGAGATGGAAGAGGTGGAGGAGATAGAGGAGATGGAGGAGGAGATGGAGGAGGTGAAGGAGATGGAGGAGATGGAGATAGAGGAGGTGGAGGACATAGAGGAGATGGAGGTGGTGGAGAAGGAGATGGAGGAGATGGAGGAGGTGGAGGACATAGAGGAGATGGAGGAGGTGGAGGAGATGGAGGAGGAGATGGAGGAGCCGTCACCGTATAACGAGGGGACCGGCCGCTCGGCGCGTCCCGGGCGGCGATGGTTCAACATTCCACTTTGGTTCTCTCGGTGAAGTCACGTAGGAGAGAGACATTTTATTTATTTATCTATTTCAAAGAGCAATTCCTGCAGTCACGAAAAGCTCTAAATCAAGGTTCAATATTCATCGCTCGCACGGCGCCCTGATCGTGACGTGAGGGAGCCGTGCAAGCGGCGCTGGCACCGTGCCCACCCACCACCACCCCCCCTCTTCTCTCTCTGTCTGTGTTCGTGTCTCTCCACACGCCTCGCTCGCTGTGTGTGTGTGTGACTCTCTCGTGGTTCTCTCTACATGACGCCTCTCTCTCTCTATGATCGCTCCCCGCTACCGCCACCGTGACACCACCAACAACACCACCACCACCTACTCTGTCTCCACCACCACCACACTCCGTCTTCACCACCACCACCAACAACACCACCACCACACACCGTCTCCACCAACACCACCACCACCCACTCCGTCTCCACCACCACCCTCCGTCTGCACCACCACCACCACCGCACTTCCGTCTCCACCACCACCGTACTCCGTCTCCACCACCACCGTACTCCGTCTCCACCACCACCACCCACTCCGTCTCCACCACCACCACCACCACACTCCGTCTCCACCACCACCACCCACTCCGTCACCACCACCACCACCACCACCGCACAACGTCTACACCACCACCACCACACTCCGTCTCCACCACCACCACCGTACTCCGTCTCCACCACCACCACCCACTCGGTCTCCACCACCACCACCACCACCGCACTCCATCTCCACCAACACCGCACTCCGTCTCTACCACCACCACCGCCGCACTCCGTCTCCACCACCACCACCGCACTCCATCTCCACCAACACCGCACTCCGTCTCCACCACCACCACACTCCGTCTCCACCACCATCACCACCACACTCCGTCTCCACCACCACCACCGCACTCCGTCTCCACCACCACCACCACCACACTCCGTCTCCACCACCACCACCACCCTCCGTCTCCACCACCACCACCACACTCCATCCCCACCACCACCACCACCGCACTCCATCTCCACCACCACCACCACACTCCGTCTCCACCACCACCACCACCACCACACTCCGTCTCCACTTGCCTTCCACTGAAGTGAATGGAACCACTGGTCACGCTGGTATCCGTTCCCCGCCTGGCAAAGAGAGGACACAGTTCCCAAAGTCAACAACAAAAACAACAACAACAACAACAAAAACAACAACAAAAACTACAACAACAAAAAAACAACAAAAACAACAACAAAAACAACAACAAAAACAACAACAACAAACAACAAACAAACAACAACAAAAAGCGTCACGGGGTCGGGATGGAACCCGCGCCCTTCCGCACACCGGGCGAGGCAGTTAACGTATCGCCTCCGCGAGGCCCGCCGGGCAATTTGTGGGCTTAAACAAAATACAAAAAAAAATAAAAAATAAACATAACACGTCTTGGCTGGCCGCGCATCGGATGCGCGTCACCATCTCAATAACCCCGTCTCTCACCAACCACCACCCCAACCTCCCACCCCCCGACGGCCGCCAGCTGCAGGATTGAGGCGGTGCGGCCCGCTCACCGCTCACCGCTCACCGCTCGAAGCCTCCGATTCAGCGGCGAGCGGCCATCGGCGCGGGTTGCATCGCCGTCGACAGAAGGCGTCGCAGCTCGCCGCGGAGAACCCTCGCCGGCACGAACGCCGCCGGCTGCCGGCAAAACTGGGCCACGCGTCGCCCACTGCCACCGTGCGCGTGGCCCCGTTTGGGGGGGGGGGGGGGGGGGCCCCCCCCCAGTACCGAGACGAAGCGATTCGCGTTTCAGTTTGTCGTCCGGTCGCGTTCCGATGGCGTATACGTAGCGACCCGCTCGCCCGCTCGCTCGCTCACACACGCACGCAAAGACGCCCCCCCCCCCCCCCCAGTGTAGCCTGTAACAGACTCCACCACCAACCCCCCCCCCCCCACCACCACCAACCCCCCACGGCCGCTCACCTGCAGCAGGATGGTGGCGCCGCACACGGAGATCTGGAGGCAGTAGCGGGGAGCGTTCTCCCACGCGAGCACCTGGATCTCCTCCATGCTGCTGTAGGCGATGGAGTTCTCCATGTAGCCCGTGGGCTGTGAAGACAACAAACGCAAGGCCCACGGTCAGCTCAAGTGGGGGGGGGGGGGAGGATAGGGGGGGCGGGCAGGGGTGGGCTGAACGTGAGTGAGTGAGAGTGTGAGTGTGTGTGTGAGAGGGTGTGTGAGTGAGAGTGTGTGAGAGTGTGTGAGTGGGTGAGTGTGTGAGTGAGAGTGTGTGAGTGAGAGTGTGTAAGAGTGTGTGTGTAAGAGTGTGTGAGTGAGTGTGTGTGAGTGTGAGAGTGAGTGAGTGAGTGAGAGTGTGTGAGTGAGGGTGTGTGAGTGAGAGTGTGTGAGTGTGTGTGAGTGTAAGAGTGTGTGAGAGTGTGTGAGTGAGTGAGAGTGAGAGTGTGTGAGTGAGAGTGTGTGTAAGAGTGTGTGAGGGAGAGTGTGAGAGTGTGTGCGAGTGGGTGAGTGTGAGAGTGTGTGAGTGAGAGTGTGTGCGAGTGGGTGAGTGTGAGTGTGTGAGAGTGTGTGAGTGAGAGTGTGTGAGTGTGAGTGTGTGAGGGAGAGTGTGAGAGTGTGTGCGAGTGGGTGAGTGTGAGAGTGTGTGAGTGAGAGTGTGTGAGAGTGTGTGAGTGTAAGAGTGTGTGAGTAAGAGTGTGTGCGAGTGGGTGAGTGTGAGTGTGTGAGAGTGTCTGAGTGAGAGTGTGTGAGTGAGAGTGTGTGAGTGGGTGAGTGTGTGAGTGAGAGTGTGTGAGTGTGTGCGAGTGGGTGAGTGTGTGCGAGTGGGTGAGTGTGTGCGAATGTGCGAGTGTGTGAGTGAGAGTGTGTGAGTGGGTGAGTGTGTCAGTGGGCGAGTAGGTGTGAGAGTGTGTGAGTGTGTGAGTGGGTGAGTGAGTGTGTGAGTAAGCGTGTGTGTGAGTGTGTGAGTGAGAGTGTGTGAGCATGTGAGTGAGTGTGTGTGAGTGTGTGAGAGTGAGAGTGTGTGAGTGAGAGTGTGTGAGTGAGTGTGCGAGTAAGAGTGTGTGTGAGTGAGAGTGTGTGAGTGAGAGTGTGTGAGTGTGTGTGAGTGTGAGAGTGTGTGAGTGGGTGAGTGTGTGAGAGTGTGAGAGTGTGAGTGTGTGAGTGGGCGAGTAGGTGAGAGTGTAAGAGTGTGTGAGAGTGTGAGAGTGTGTGAGTGTGTGAGAGTGTGTGAGTGAGAGTGTGAGAGTGTGTGAGTGAGAGTGTGAGAGTGTGTGAGTGAGAGCGTGTGAGTGAGAGTGTGAGAGCATGTGAGTGAGAGTGTGAGTGAGTGTGTGAGTGAGAGTGTGAGTGAGTGTGTGAGTGGGCGAGTGTCAGAGTGAGCAAGTGGGCGAGTGTGAGAATGTGTGAGCAGGTGAGTGTGTGAGCGTGTGCATGAGTGTGTGCGTGTGTGTGATTGAGTGAATGTGCGAGCGTGTATGAGTGTGTGAGTGTGCGCGTGGGTGGGCGAATGTGTGAAGGCGAGTGGGTGAGTGTGTGCATGAGTCTGCGGGTGTGCGAGTCTGCGAGTCTGTGAGTGTGCGCATGAGCAACGATTATCGCCGTGCTACGAACCCGGCGACCGGAGTTCTATTCCCGCTCACGGCCAACACCGGCGACGAAAATCTTAACCGGTCATGGGCCTGCCCCTAGGTTGACTCAGCCTCAATTGAGTACCCTGGTGTTCTGTTTAAACATCACCATTGGGGAGACAAAGGCCCGTCATGCCTCGTGTTGGCCACCCACTCTCCTATATCTCACTCCCTCCCATATCTTGGCTGTGTGTGTGTGTGGGCTGTGTGCGCATGTGTGTGCGTGTGTACACGTGTGTGTGTGCATGTGTGTGTGTGGGGGCTGTGTGCATGTGTGTGTGTGCGTGCATGTGCGTGCACGTGTGTGCACTGTGTGCACGTCTGTGTGTGGGCTGTGTGCACGTGTGTGTGTGCATGCGTGCACGTGTGTGTGTGTACGTGTGTGTGTGTGTGCGTGTGTGCGCGTGTGTGCACGTGTGTGTGCGTGCACCTGTGTGCGTGTGCACGTGCTTGTGTGCACGTGCGTGTGCACGTGCTTGTGTGCACGTGCGTGTGCACGTGCTTGTGTGCACGTGCGTGTGTGTGTGCACGTGCGTGTGTGTGCACGTGTGTGTGTGTGCACGTGTGTGTGCGTGCACGTGTGTGTGCGTGCACGTGCGTGTGTGCGCACGTGTGTGTGTGTGTGCGCGTGGTAACACAAGTCAGGTAAATATTTACTCTTGCCGGGGACGGCTCGTTTAACCGTGGCTGCTGCTGCTGCTGCTGTCGCATTCGCAACGACGACGAGAATTTGTTTCTACCCACACGCGTGGTGGCAGCAGCATCAGCATCAGCGGCCAAGTGTCTCAGGATCTGGATGCCAATGTGGAGGTCCTGCTGCTGCTGCTGCTGTTACCACCCCCATGACCACCACCCACACGACCACCACCCACACCACCACCCCCACCCCCATGACCACCACCCACACGACCACTAGTACCACCACCACCCCCCATGACCACCACCACCACCACCACCACGACAACCACCACTGCCCACGACCAACCAAACGACCACCACCACCACAACCACATAAACCACAACTACCACCCCACCACCGTCAGCACCACCTCCATCGCCACCACCGTCACCAACATTGACCACGACTATCAACGCCACCAACATCACCACAACCATCACAATCACTACCCACTATCGGCACCACCACCGCCACCACCAAATTGACCACGACTATCACCGCCACCACCACCGCTGCCACCACCAAATTGACCACGACTATCACCGCCACCACCATCGCCGCCACCACCACCACCACCAAATTGACCACGACTATCACTGCCACCACCACCACCGCCGTCACCGCCGCCTTCAACGGGGCCGTGAAGCAAGCGGTGCGTAGTGACCTGCGCTTCAAAGCGCGAGGGACACGGGAGCAGCAGCAGCAGCAGCAGCCGCAGCAGCAGCAGCCACAGCAGCAGCAGCAGCAGCAGCAGCCGCAGCAGCAGCAGCAGCAGCCGCAGCAGCCACAGCAGCCGCAGCAGCAGCAGCAGCCGCAGCAGCAGCAGCAGCCCCTCCGCACCGCCCCTCGGCCCGCGACCGTGTCAGCACGACCCCGACAGGGCAGCGATAAAAGACGTCTGCCCAAGTCAAACGACCGGCGTCCTGCCCCCGGTATGGACGTTCGGGGCTGGGCGGAGGAGGAGGAGGGAGGAGGAGCGGGCCAGGCCCACGCTCGCTTGCGCTCTTCCACCTCTGCAAGCCAACGCCAAAAGCCGTAGGTGTCTCTCTCCCTTCTCTGGTAAAAACAAAATATTAAATAAGAAAAAGGCGTCCACTCGGCGCGCTCCCGGGCCGCCGGCGCCGACGCCGACACCGCCGCCGGTCAGCCGTTTGAGGCCTCGGTAAGGCAGACGGGCCGAGTTTACGGAACAGGACCCTGCGTGCCAGTTTTACCCCTTTTTTGTGGGCAGTAACACAGGAGGTGTCGGTAGAACACGGAGGCTTTGGCGACCAAATGTCATTCGTAACGAAGGGGTTTTTTGTTTTGGGGGTCGGGTCGGGTCGGGTCGCGGAGGTGTGTTTGGTTGCTCGAGCACCGGACGGAAACGTCTTGCTGACGTTCGCATTGTCCTCGCACCCGGCCGCCTCTCGGCGCCGTCCTCCGCCCTGGCGCTAGCGGCGAGACTCGGCCCGAGAGGAGGCCGCTGCTGCTCCTGCTGCTGCTGCTCCTGCTGCTGCTGCTGCTCCTGCTGCTGCTGCTGCTCCTGCTGCTGCTGCTCTCCCCCCCCGGACGGAGGCCAAACGGCCTCGAAGGCAATACATCGGACGAATCGTCGCCAGGGCCGCTGTTCGTCTGCCCGTTCACCGAGAGGCCGGGTGACAGGCGGGCCCGGGGAGCCGGGGCCGGTGGCTGGGTAGGGATGCAGGCAGCGAGTCGCCGGGGCCCTCGGCGAGCGGGAGGGGCGGACGGCCGCCACTCAAAGCTGCCCGCCCGCCCGCCCCAACCCGCCAGCCCGGGTCTTCCCGTCAACTCTCTCGCTCGTCGCGAGCGACGCACACGGAGGGAGGGAGCGAGAGAGAGAGAGAGGAGAGCGCCTTGGGTCACGGGCGCCTCGCCGGCCCGTCCCGTCCAACGAGCTTTCGCACACGCGTCCGCGGCCGTCTGGAACGCTCTTGTCCCCCTCCTAGCGATGTCAGGAAGACGCTGGGAGCTACGATTCGCTTTTAAATCGTCGTCGTCGTCGTCGTCATCGATTGAGAAGGCATTTCTTTAAAAACTGCTTGTCCGTGTTTAGTTGGTTGTCCTGCCCCCCCGGCACCTCCGATGAGCACGGTTAGCTACGTGCGGTGCGAAAGGAGTTCAACATAGATACGTAGAGCTCACACAGAGACCCATAGACTCACACGGAACCCCATAGACTCACAAAGAGCCTCATAGACTCACACAGAGACCCGTAGGCTCACAAAAAGACCCATAGACTCACACGGAACCCCATAGACTCACACGGAGTCCCATAGACTCACACAGATACCCGTAGACTCATCACAGGGCCCCATAGACTCACATGGAGTCCCATAGACTCACACACATACCCGTAGACTCACACGGAGTCCCATAGACTCACACAGGGACCCATAGACTCATATAGAGACCCAAAGACTCACACAGAGACCCGTAGACTCACACAGAGACCCATAAACTCACACAGAGACCCATAGACTCATATAGAGCCCCATAGACTCATACAGAGACCCGTAGACTCACACAGAGACCCATAGACTCATACAGATACCCGTAGACTCACACAGAGACCCATAGACTCACACGGAGTCCCATAGACTCACACAAAGACCCCTAGACTCACACAGATACCCCTAGACTCACACAGGGACCCATAGACTCATATAGAGACCCATAGACTCACACAGAGACCCGTAGACTCACACGGAGTCCCATAGACACACACAGAGACCCAAAGACACACACAGAGACCCATAAACTCACACAGAGACCCACAGACA